GATGGTGATGATTGTAGTTGGGGTAGTGATAATAATTGCGAGGATGATGATGGTGGCGGTGATGAAGATGGTGATAATGATAAGTATGGTTGTGATGATGAAGATGATAGTGATGATGATGAGTATGGTGGTGATGATGAAGATGATAGTGATGATGATGAGTATGGTGGTGATGATGAAGATGATAGTGATGATGATGAGTATGGTGGTGATGATGAAGATGATGACGGTGATGATGATGATTATGAAGAAGATGGTGGCAATTACTTATTGGAAAGTCTTTTATTATTTCAACTACTTTAACTCTCACCGAGAGCACGACAGTTATTGAAATCGGAAACAGTTAACGAGTTTTTTATTGTCCTTAAAATCCAAAAATCCAAAAATTACTTCACACTTCGAATGCTGGTCCAACCAATGTGGGCGGACCTTTCTGTATAAACACCAGGACAGTACCTTCACCCCCTAACCTGCCTTAAATCCCACCCTGTAAAAAACAATTTAAAAAGATAATATTATAATAATATTATAATAATAATATTAATAATAAATAATAATAATAAATGATAATAATATAAACAAGTTGGCACGTAGAACAAAATTGAGGAAGAATCTGGTGCAGACGTGTTCCTAATAAACTCCCAACTTTAAAATTATTACCCGAACGACTTGCATTATTATATTTTTCTCTCTCTCTTCTCTTCCAGTTATTGGAAATTTTGGACAAATTTATTTTGAAAAATTTCGCTACAGCTATCTATCGTTCGTATAATTTAGTTTATTATTAATAAAATATGGTCAAACGTTGTTTATATTTAAATAATTTTCAATTAAGTTGAAATGGTACAAGCACTTTATCAGATATATTTATGAATGTATCACGAATCTATTTGATTACTATCTTCTTGTGCCGTGCTTTAAAATTCAAGTTGCAGTAGAAACACTCTCGTTTAGATATATAAATTTTTTTTAGGTTTTATTAGGTTTTTTCCAGCCGATGTATTTTATTTCTATGTTTTGTGTATTGTCAGAAGTGTGTTTAGAAAATATTAATTGAAAAATTGATAGAAAATCGTGTGTGTGTGTGTGTGTGTGCGCGCGTGCGTGTGTGCGTGTGGGTGTGCGTGGGTGGGTGATGAATTGTATATGTGAGTATACAACGAAGAATTTTTAAAACTCTATTTTTGGGGTGACAAAAATGTATTACACAATAAATCTTTTGTAGTTTCTTCTCTAACAATAAAAAACTTTAACTATAAAATGTTAATTTTTTTCCTGGAAATTGTGGGTTGAGAAAATAAAAAGTTGCCACTTTGACAACTTCTTTTCAACATAAATCACTCGTTATTCAGAAGTGCATGAATGGACGAATGTTTCCATGATGTATGTGTTTAGTTTATGTAGGTACGTGAGCTAACTACTCAAATTTGCATATTATCATCATTTCAAAATGTAAACATACATCGGGTGAATTGTAGATAATGTAAATAATAATGCTGAATCGTTTGATGTCCTATGCATGTTTTGTCTTTGATGTTCTTGCTAGCATTTTCTTAATTCTTATTAAAAATTAATCTGAATTTGTAAAAATTGATCAGTCTTGTTTTTATTGACTTTTTTGTACATTTTGTTGTTGTATATAGTGCGAAAACGCAAATTTTGATGCGACGACAAACATCTAGAAATATTTTAAAACGCCAACTGAACAAGTTTCACTCTGTTTGTGGATTTTATTTAATATCACATTGACTGCCTGCGACTACAAAGAAATTTTCTTGGTATGTTTGAAAGCTACTGCCTAAAAAATTTTACCTTTAATTATTATTTTATCAACTCTGACATGTGTAGTAGTGAACACTATTTAAAATGTTTGTAGTTTGAAAATAAACGAAATAAAATTGTTATAATTTTGTGAGAGATTCGAGGTTTAAAAATCTGAAATACAACCTTTATACAAATTTTTGACAAAATTATTAGCACATGAAGCATAACCATTTCTTCATAACCATGAAAAAGAAAAAATTGCGATTAATTTATTTGTAATATTTGGAAAGCAATTATCAAAAACAACAGAGTAATGGCCCATGCTTCTGAGTTGTTTGTAGATAATGAAATTGATTCTGTCCTTGCTAGAAATATTCGCAGTCACTAGTTGGAATTCTTAAAAAATGCTTAACAACTGACGCAAAAAATGTTAATGGAAGTTTTTTCAAATACTTTTTTAGTATATTTAAATACGTATATATAAATAAATAAATATATATATATAATATATTTATAATAAAATAAAATAAATTAAAATAAAAATAAAACTCCATCCAGAATAAATTATCTCCATAAAAACATAAAGCTCACAATGAAGCCCAGCAAAAAGTCATTCATTCATATGAAGTGTGCCATTTATAAAAATTGGAACTCTCTCTCTCTCTCTGTCTCTCTGTGTGTGTCTCTCTCTCTCGCATACACATACACACACGCACACATACACATACACACACACATACACGTACATATTGAGCAGGTTAATTAGGAGAATCAATACGAAGCGTGTCATAGATTTTCATATGTTTGACATCACTTTGATGTTGATTTTAATGCAAATAACAGTAACTCATACATCGCAATAACATCACATTACAATAGCATTACTCATCCTACATTACATTAAATGTACATTGTAAAGATTATTTAGTGAAACAAAACGGTACGAACGCATTAATAAATAAATACAACACCTGCACACACACACACACACACACACACACAAACACAAACAAACACATACCCACACACATGCATATATAAATATACAATAAAATATTATAACCATTACAAAAATATCATCAAAGTCCCCGTATAATTGGACCAAATTACGTAACTTATCTTCAGAGCAATATGCGTATAAAAAATGTATGAAACTAATTAATCAACCAATCAACCAACCAATTATCCATTCAATCAACCAACCAACCAATCAACGAAATAATGATTTAATTAACCCATCAACAAATTGATTAAATTAAAAATCAGACAATCAACAATCAATTAAACAATGATTATTAATAAACATACAAACAAATAAATATAAACGAGCATAAAGACACACACAACAAACAAACACACAATCAAACACACATTCACAAACAAACACACAATCAAACACACATACACCAGTAAAATAATTTATATATAGCACGACCAAATAACTAGGAATATAAATTGCACGAAAATTGATTTAGTATTCAATATAAATTAATTGAGCGAGGTATTACGTAACCTGGGGTATGCTACGGTATTGTACCAACACAAATGCCCGCTTGTATACACATATATGTACACATATATGTACACATATATGCACGCATACTTAGATACACGCACGCACATGCACACGCACAAATACACACGCATACTTAACACAATTGATAACAATTCACGTAGGTGTGTACTGTACGCATAAAATAGGTGTTTCACCACATCAAATGATACCATCATCATCGTCATTATCTTCATCATCATCGTAATCATCATCTCCATTGTGATTGTCATCTCTATAAAAAAAATGCAGCAACTAACTCAATCGGTAACCATGGGAACAAAAACACGCCAACCAATTAGAAAACAGCATTTGAAATGACGTAAGCTTTTTTAATTCTAAGAAACTTCCATAAAATCAAACATGCGATCATGCAAGCCTTACTAAACCATTATGAATGTATCTCAGCACCCTCTGACGTGTCTCAATATTTTTGTACTTTTCAGACTATCAGGGCGATAGTAGTGATGATAACACGTGTGTGTGTGTGTGTGCGTGCGCGCGTGTGTGACGTTGCATGGTGCATGCGTGTGTGGCGCAAGAGTGAGCGGGAATTGAAATGTGTTTCCAATTCCTTCCCATTTTTTCCCGATCCCGATTCCCTCCAGAATTCCCATTTACGACAACGTTCCCGAAAATTCTCAATCCCTATTTTTTTAACTAGAGAGAAAGAGAGAGAGAAAGAGAGAGAGAAAGAGAGAGAGAGAAAGAGAGAGAGAAAGAGAGAGAGGAGAGAAAAAGAAAAAAAGCAGATATCGGAAACTATAACGAAATGCTATTAAGAATATTTAAAAAACCGAAAGCACTTTGATTTATAGATGTATTTAAAAAAAATGGGTGAATGAAGAGAAAGTGAGAAAGAGAGTTAAAAAAACAAAGACAGGGAGAGACAGACAGACAAAGAGAAAAAGAGAGAGAGAGAGAGAGAGAGAGAGAGAGAGAGTGGAATATGAAGCACCGTCACATAATCCAAAGCTTTATGATAGCAACTTCAATTAAATCGTTCGCAACTATAAATGAATATCGACCATTGTATTAATGTGCCTTATCTGCAACAGGAAAAATAATAAAAATAATAATTATGACAGCAAAAAAATAATAAAAAATAATAATTATGACGACAGTAATTACCATTATAATAACAATTATAATAACAATAATAATAAAGGTGCAAGCAATAATAACGGCTTTTAAATAAATAATAATAATAAAAATAAAATTCGATTGAAGTATTAATAATATTGTCGTCTCATCAAAGTGTCATAGACTGTTGCCAAGAGCCAATAATAATAATAACATTAAAATAATAATAATAATAATAATAATAAGATGATGATAGTGAGGAGGGTGTTTGTGGTTTCGCATTCATAGTCACTGCAGATTGGTGTCTTCAGGTGCGTAGCTGCCCTGAACGATTGAATGCGTAATAAATTTATCATGGAATTCCGCATGACCATTCGACCTTTATTTTTATAACTTATAACTAAATTAATATTTTTCTTCCTCTCTCACCTCCTCTTTTCATTCTTTCTCTCTGCCTCTCTCTGTCTCTCTGTCTCTCTCTGTCTCTCTGTCTCTCTCTCTCTCTCTCTATTTGTCTGTCTCTCTCTTCTCTCGTCATTTCAGCCATTGTTTACACCATGCTTAATTGCACATAAAGTTTTATTTAAATAATAATCTTCCAGGTTACGGCTATAGCACTCCGAAGACAGCTGGCGGGAAGGTGTTTTGCATGTTCTACGCCATGGTCGGCATCCCGCTGAACCTCATCATGTTCCAAAGCATTGGTGAGAGACTGAACATTTTTGTAACCTTCCTACTTCGTCACTTCAAACGCTGCTTCAGATTCCGCTCCTCAGACGTTTCGCAGACCAACTTGATCTTCGTCTGCATGAACATGTCCAGTCTGGTGGTCGCTGGGGGGGCCTACGCCTTCTCCCGCATTGAGGGCTGGTCCTACCTGGACGCCTTCTACTACTGCATCATTACGCTGACGACCATCGGTTGGTTGTTGTTGTTTTGGTTGCTGTTGTTATGATTGTTGTTGTTTTGGTTGTTGTTGTTGTTTTGGTTGTTGTTGTTGTTTTGGTTGGTTTTTTTATGTCCTTAGTGTTGTTGTTGTCAGCTATCGTTGCATTTTAGCCACAAATCTACAGACACACCCTTCACTTTTGTATGCGCACGCAAGCACCGCAGCGTAAACCGAAAGCGTATGATGGTCTTGTGCAACCATTATTAAAACCAGATCGACGAAACATGACAGCGTATTTTTTCGCGTAACTATAAGTTGGTTTTGTAGGGTAAGTTAGTTTTATTGTTGTATTGCAGTTGGATTCGTTCATCATCTTGTTATAATGTTACTGGTGTGATAAACTGTAACGCCGACCTTTTTATAGTGTTTTTCTGATGTTGTTCCAATGCTAACAGTAGCGCTGATGTAATAATGATAATGGGACTATGACAAACGAGATGATGATGACGAAATGGTAAGACGCAATGGTTTATTCGATACTTTTACGCTTCTCACTCAAGAAGCATCGTTGTTGTTGTTGGGTGGCGTTAAAATCAGGAGATGTACATATTTGTTATTTTAAACCGGTTGCAATATTTATAGAAGAAGTTATGAAGGAGGAACGAAAATAGAATGATGTTTGAGGTGGAATGCAATGCAATCGACCCAAGATCCCACATTTGTACAAACAAACAACCGAGCAAAACGATTCTAAAAAAAAATCCATACATACTTTCTTGCATATATTCTGCTTGCGTGATAATATATTTTAATCCTTTTCTTGCTCTCTCACTCTCTCTATCTTTCTTTCTCTTTTTTCTTATTTTCTCTCTTTTTAAACTTTTGTCCGATGCGATATTATTTCCACACACACAAACACATACAAACACACACATATACACACTCAACATACACACATTCATTCATTCAGGATTCGGAGATTACGTGGTGTTACAGAGGAACGAGGAACTGCAAAAAAATTCTGGCTACTTCGTCTTCAGTCTCCTCTTTATCTTATTCGGTCTGGCGGTCCTCTCAGCCGCCATGAACCTCCTCGTTCTCAGGTTCCTAACTCTGAACACCGAGGACGAACGGAAAGATGAACTGGAAGCACTGGCCGCCATCAGATCCGCTGTGCGACTTGAAGGTGACGTCATAACGGCCAACAACAGCATTGGCGTCATCAGCGGCAGCAGTGCAAGCGGTGGCGGCTACGTTACGTCCAACAACCAGCAACCAACCTTCCAGCAACAAGTCGTTCCTCTCAACGGTCGATATTACACGGCAGTTGCCAGTGGTTATTATTCCCCTACCATTCAAGGTAATTACTACCACCAACATCAACCACACTGCAGTGGCCACAACTACCACCAACAACGAACACTCTTGTCCAACGTCGACGACGACAACGATCAGCAGCAGCAGCACAGTCAACATCTAGCTCAAACATCACCCGACCAGCCACACAACAGCACAGAATACTACGAAAGAGCCTCGGTCTGCAGTTGCACCTGCTACAACATCCGCAGCAACTTCTTCAAGAGGCGGTCCAGCAAGCAGCAAACGAGTTTCTTCAACGGCTCGAACAGGAGCAGGAGGAAGCGGGAAAGTTCCGGTGCGGCCAACAGCATCATTGCTCAGCTTCTGCAGCCGGTGAGAGTTCTCCAAGCCATGACGCAAGTGCACGCCAGCAAGAGGAATGATGACTGGCTTTTGCAGAATACTGTCTTCGGGCAGAGAAGAAATTCCGTTTGATTGTGATGATGACGATGCTGAATATAATGACGATTATGAAGTTAGTTACTGTGATGATGAAACAGTTACGATGATAATGATGATGATGAAGATGATGATAACATTGATGATGATGATGGTGATGATGATAACACTGATGATGATGATGATGATGATGGTGATAGTGATGAATCTGAAGAGTCGATACTGTTGGAAATAATGTGGAAACGAAACTCTTGCTCTCGTGATCAGCATCATCCTCTTCCTCATCATCTTCTCATCATTAATCATGTGAATTTAACAGCATTTGTAATGTTCATTATCCTTCTTGCTATAAATTTTTCTTATAAAAACATGTAAATATTCAACTCATTTTAACTTGAAACAGTTACAAACACAAATATTCCCATAAATTTTTGAAGCAACTTCCTCTCTCGCGATGTCCACCGTCTTTAACTTTTCCATGTAAATGTTCTACTTTTTTTGGCCAACACATGTGCATGCAAAAACACACACACACGCACACACACACACACACACACACACACACACACACACACACACACGCCCACATACATACTCATACTTATATATATATATAATTATACATATAATATTATTATGAATTTGTACACGCACCACACACTAACATAATTTATTAAATTATTTATAATATACAAACTGAATTTAACATACATTAACATGCTTTGAATAAAATTCATCCCGTTGTGTTTGCTTTGCAGTTCAGGTGTCGCCGTGACTTCATAACTCATAATTTATGACTACTTGACTGAGCACTATGGATGGAAAGACACGGACGAATGAGAGAGAGAGAGAGAGAGAGAGAGAGAGAGAGAAAAGAGAGAGAGAGAGAGAAAGAAAGAGAAAAATAAAGAGAGAGAGAGAGAGAGAGAGAAAATTTTCGCAGTTTGACAATAATTTTATTAATGATTTTAAGGATTTATAATGAAAACTATTAATCATAAATTTTAAAAACAATGAAGCAATTCGAAAGTGTAAGTGTGTATGTGTGTGTGCATGTGAGTGCGAGCGCGCGCGTGTGTGTTTTTTTTCCACTCATTTGTTTGTTCAAAATCTTTCCCTTGTATTTATGCAGTTGTCTGTTCATTTGTTTTGTTCATTTCGTTCTGACGTTGAAACGAACAAACTTCGTTGTTGTTGTACTTTCCTCTCCTCTTTCATTTCAAACTTTTTTTATTCATTCATTCATTCTTTTATTTATAACTTTAACTCATTTTATGTTCACTCGTTCATTAAGTCTATATTTTTTTTGTTGGTTCATTCATTTGTTTGTTCATTCTTTTGTAAAGTTATGTTCACTCTCATTTTATGTTCACTCGTTCATTAAGTCTTAATTTTTTTCGTTGGTTCATCCATTTGTTTGTTCATTCTTTTGTTAACAGCATCGACGATATCATCATCATCATCATCATCATCATCATCATCATCATCATCATCATCATCGTCATCGTATACACAGCACTATTATCAAACACATAATCAGCACCTCGTCGTCATGACAACGTTCCTCACAAAATACATATATCATCATTATCATCGTCATCCTCATCATTATCATCGTCATCATCATCGTCTTCATTATAGTCATCGAATGATATCAACCCACCATCAGATCCTGAACAAGCTTATTTCAAGCACATTATTGTTATTGTTGTTGTTAATATTTGTTATTGTTGTTGCTCAGTTTGTGCCTTTTAAATCTGTTTCATTATTAAACATTTAAATTTTTATTAGTATTTTATTGTTGTTATTCTTATTGTCATTATTACTGAAAGGTTGAAATGTTAAAGGTCATTTTACCACATTACACATCATATTGCATGTGATGGGCTTGAAAGTTTCCATACAATTGAGCCAGGACGCTTCAGAACAGAACCATCCTTTAACTACTATCAATGATGATGATGATGACGACGATGACGATGTCTATGACGATAATACTCAATTAAAATTGACAAGTTGTTACAGTCAAAATGCTAATAATAATCAATAAAATGTCTGAGCCAGTTTGATGGAGAGAACTCCAATTTTTTTGTCATTTTTCGAGATGCACTCAGCTGCTTCGATCGAATGCATAATTAATCCTACTAAAAATTTGTCTCACGCACACGCGTACACACGCACGCACAAGCACACATACACACGCACACATACATACAGAGAGGGAGATTGAAAGAAAGAGAGACGGACACACACACACACACACACATACAACAAACGTATGCACACAAACATAGAAAAATAATTTTGAACGTTAAAGATTAAATTCTTGTAGAAGCAATGAAATGAGATGGGGTCTATGGGAAAGTTGCAGCTCCAATGTTTAATTCTCTATTGAATTTTTTACTCATGGCTCGTTTCATAAATACAAAAAGTAAACATGAGATAAAAATTTACCTTAATAGCATTTATTTAACTCTGTTGTTATCCATGCTAGTTGTGTTTTTTTTCATTTCTATTCGTAGTACGCATGTCAAACATATTTGAAGTGGCGGGAACGTGACGTCACGCTGCTTAAAATAACTTCAAGCATGAATGACGAGAGGAAGGGATTCGTGCCGCTTTGTTGTTTTTTTTGCTGCTGCTGTTGTTGTTGATGCTGTTATTGTTGATGCCGTTGTTGTTTTTTTGTTGCTGTTGTTGCTGCTGCTGTTGTTATTCTAAAATGATGTGTGTACATCCACACCATGCGCACACTTTGTATGGCGGTCTTTGAGTTTCGAAAAGATAGTTATCGAACTCTGTCAAGTCGCAATAGCCACTCATTACATGGAGCTTCTATCGTTTCAGCTAACTCATCAATGCTGTTGTTTAAATTGCCGTGTGTGTTGCTTTGATAATTACGGTTAACTTCTGTCCCAAGTGTAGTTGTTATAGCGTTTAAGAGTTTGTTTATTCATTTGATTTTACCATTTTATTACTTATGTTTTGTTGCTTATATTTATTGTTGTGCGTGTGTGTGTCTTTCGCTGTTTTAGACAACTGAACGAAACGGAGCCAAAAGAAACAAAACGATTTCGCGTTTTTGTAAACTTTTCTGTAAATGTTGCTGCCGATGTAGTAGTAGTTGTTGTTCTTATTTTTATTGTTGTGGACGATGACGTCATTGTGAACGACCTTAGATAGGTATCACAGTACACGTGCTCCGACGCTGACGGGAAAATTGTTTTTATGGCAAGGGAGGATATTGTTTGGGACTTTATGTGGTTCCTTTCTTGTCGATAATGAAGATATGTCTGCCTTGCGATACTTTTTTTATTTTCTCTTTCTTTCTTTCTCTCTCTCTCTCTTTCTCTCTCTATCTCCTCTCTTTCTCTTTTTCTCTTGTTGTTTGCAAAGCCTTAGTTTATTTGTCTTCTAGGTTTGTTGATATTTTTTAAACTGTTTTCGTACCGATATTTATAAAAGTGATTTTGTTTGTGGAAGAAAGAAAAATCAATATGTGTGTGTTTGTTTGTGTGTGTGATCGCCTATTTTTAATGTTTGGTTGTATGTGTGTGTGTGTGTGGTGTGTGTGCGTGCGTGTTTGTGTGTGCATGCTGCGGTGTATGTGTGTTGTTCTATAAAAACATGTTGTTTTTATCGTTTATCGACGTTGTTTCTAATGTTTCTCGTGTTATTTAATCCAAGTATGTGCGTTAAATATGTTGGCATTTGTTGATTGTTTGGTATTGTTTACTTGTTTAAGAGTTTAAAATATTTTTTAGTGTTACATTGATGTTGTTGTTTGTATGTAAAATTTGTATCAGATAATGTTGTTGACGTTTTTATGTGTAATTTATATTAGATATTGTTGTTGTTGCTTGTATAAACTGTCTGTTGTTGTTGTTTAAATGTATAATTTGTTTCAGATATTGTTGTTGACGTTTGTATGTGTAATTTGTATTAGATATTGTTGTTGTTGCTTGTATAAACTGTCTGTTGTTGTCTTGTTTAAATGTTGTTGCTTATTATTCATTGTTGTCTGGTTCGACCGTACCAAATGTCATACAGTACAGCTCTTTATTCTGCACGTCGCATACATCATCATGGTTTGTGTATGCACCAACAGCCTAAGTGGGGTAAGCATTGAGATTTCCAATGTCCATTTTGAGTGTTTTTGTTGTTGTTGTAATTGGTATTGTAGTTGTAGTGGTATGCTGTTGTTGTTAGTAGTGGTGAATAAGATGAAATAAGATCTTAATCCTATCAAATGTATTTATAAAATTTTTGTTAAACTCTTGCAACGACAATTCTTTCACTAACTAACTAGCCAGCCAGACAACAATTCAACCAACCAATCAACCAACTAACCATTCAATCAATCAACCAACCAATCTGTCCTTCAATCAAACAATCAGCCTGCCAATCAAACATTTAACTCTGTCTACAACAGACAAAAAACGTTAGAACAAAATCATGAAGAGAGATTAAGTAGGCAGAAAAATAGTGAACGATGATGATGAATGTGATGATGAGAATGATGATACTGACGATGATAATGGCTTCGATGATTAAAAAATTATTATTTTTATGATTAAATAATGATGACAAATATAATTAAATGATAGTGATGATGAAGAAAAAGAAGAGAACATTCTAACATCTACTGTAATTATGATTAATACGTCAAATTTTGACTATGTCAGATGACGGATGTGTGCTAGTACGTGATGGCCGCTTAAAAATGGCAACATCATATGCGCTATTTTAGCTGTAGTTGATGTCATTATCATTATTATTGTTGTTGTTTTTACTGTTGTTGTTGTCATTAATGCTATTGTTGTTGCTACTAACGTTTTTAATGTAATCTTCATCATTTGAGATTTATTTTTCCTTGTAAAACACCTTCCCATACATTCTATCTTTCGGTTTTTTGTCTTTTGCAAGTGAAAGCTAAATTTTCATGCAATAAATAATTTATTTTCCAAAACTACACTTATAACATACAATTACTAACAGATTTTAAAACCGTAAATAAAATAACATATATTCATTAATCAGCTAGACGACCATTACCATCGTCATCATCTCGTATTCATTGCGATTATTATCATTCTCACATTAATAAAAGTCTCAATATCACATTCTCACATTTATATACTGCAACACACACATACATATACATACACACACACACACACACACACACACACACACACAAACACACACACACACACACACATACACAATAATATCTTCACGTATTAGTTCTCGAAAACCAATAAAAGGAAACGTCTGTAATATTTAACTACATATTTGGCACCGATGATAATAACAATAACAAAGATATTTAACATAATAACAAACATAGATTCGCAAAAATTCGCAAAAAATAATTAAAATAATTAATGTTACAATCGTTTACAAATTACACTAGTTACATATTACTAATTAGTTTCAATAAATGTAAGATATTGCAAATAGCGCAATGGTAAAATACTTTGGATCAGTATAAGACTGTAATTTACTAAAGTACTCTTAGCAGTATAGAACCTATAAAAATGTAACGTAATGTAACGTAATGTAATGTAATGTAAAGTAATGTAATGTAATGTGTGTAATGTTCTGTAATCATGGATTTCCTTTCAATAACAAATCGTTTAAAGCAGAGAGTTAAACTGAAATATTATGAACTGTAATTATTTGAAAATCATTCAAAAAGCTGTTTGATTAAATTCTAAGAACAAAGTTAAAAGTTGAATTTTATAAGCTAGTCAAACTGCAATTAATCAATCAAAGATCAGCCAATCACAAACCAACTTTGCACTTAACCAGCCAATTAATGAAAAAATTAACGAACGTATCAACTATCGATTAATCAAATCTACAATCCTACAACATTCAACCAACAGCCAACCAATCAACCAGCCAGCCAACCAAACAGCCAACCAAACAGCCGACCAATCAGCCGACCAATCGGCCAGCCAGCCAACCAATCAATCGTCGCAGGTTTTAATCATATATTTCTTTAAACAACATTCCCTATCGAGAACGTGTCGATTGGTGGTACGACACTTGCCACCGCAATCGAGAGTAGCGGCCACAGCGTCTGATGAGGAGACGCCGGCAGCTATTGAAGCCTTCGTCCGATGATGGTGTGTGTGGTAGTGACGTGGTTTTTCTTTATTCTCGCTCGAGTGGGCCCTCCTGCTGTTTCTCAGAAATTTTTCTTCCTGCTGATACATCTGGCATTCGACGTCCCGTCGTAACTCTTGCTTCATTTCTCGGAGTAGCTGGTTGGAGCGAGGAGACGAGAGAAAAAAATTAATTGACACAATTAATTAATTAAATTAATTAATACACAAACGTATGCAAGTACCCAAGCCAACACAAAAAACGAGTTATAGACATATAAACAAAAAATCTCAAATATGAACCAAACAAACATTTAAAAAAATTTTTCATAATACAGCTCTGTGTAAATTTATACTCATTTAAGTTTCGTACATAAACAAACATACACAAACAGGTACAAAAAATATCATATCAGCGTACATGCAAAAACAAACATTTGGACGCACGTACATGCAAAAACACACATTCGTTCGGACTTATCAGTACCTTGTCTTGTTGGATTTTGTTGGAAGGTGAGTTCTTCCTCTTGTCCATCTCCTCCAACAGTATGGCGTATTGATTTCTGTAGCTAGTTGGTGCATTGATTCACTCATGCATTCATTCATTCATTCATCAGTGTCTTCATTCATTTAACATCCATACGTCAGTCCATTCTTTGATCGGATACTTATTTAATTACTAATTGACCAATTCATTCATTATTGACTAATCAAGTTATTCATTCATTCATTCATTCATTCATTCATTCATTCATTCATTCATTCATTCATTCATTCATTCATTCATTCATTCATTTATTCATCATTCATTCATTCACTCATTCATTCACTCATTCATTGATTTACTGGTTGAATAGTAAATACCCTAAACTAAAACACACTTGAATAAATTCAGTAACCAACGAAATGAACAACACATGCATTAATTAGAATATCAACTCGGTAATTCAGTTTGTCGCTAGGTCAAGAATGTACGAACGAGCAACAAATGAAGGAATGAAAAAAAAGTGAAAAAGTGAACAAACGAATGAACGATCGAACGAACGAACAAATAAACAAATGATAGAATGAAAGAACGCAAAAAAGGAATGAATGAAGACCCACTAGTTCTCGATGCACTCAATCTGATCAGCTTGTTTCTTGGCTTGTGCCGTCTTCATCTCTTTCCTCTTCATTCGTTCATCTTTCTCTCTCTCTTTTCTATCCATCTCTGCACTTCTGCACAAATCCACCATGCGCTGATAATTGAAAAGATGATGACGAAGATGATGACGAAGATGATAACGAAGATGGTGATGCTAGTGACAAAGATGATTGGTTACAAATGATGATGACGACGATGAAACATGACAAAGACATATTAAGGAATGTCTTCATTATCATTACCATCTTCATAATGAAACCGTCTGCCAATCATTCCAACATCATTAACAGCATCTTTTTTTTCATCTGCCTAACAACCATCTTCATCACCACCACCATCATTCTTATCATCATTTTCCCTCACTCTCTCTTCTCTCGATCTCTCCTTAACAGCTGCTGCCAGCTGATGACGACGCAACTGATTCAGACGTCTGTCCTTCCGTATTTTGTTAATCTTCTCGTCTCGCTCCATCTCCCGCCAATGCAACTGATCTTGCTTGCTGGCGCGCATTGCTTTCTTTTATTGAGTGATTGAATGTGCATGAAAGAATGAATAAATGAATAAATGAATGAATGAATGAATGAATGAATGAATGAATGAATGAATGAATGAATGCATGAATGAATGAATGAATGAATGCATGCATGAATGAATGAATGAATGAATGAAATAATGCATGAATGAATGCATGAATGAATGCATGAATGAATGCATGAATGAATAAATAAAAAGGTGGATGGATGAATAGATAATAAGTGGATAAAATTATGAACGGATAGATGAACCGTTAAATCAATCTCGTTAGAAGGGCTACACACATTCATGAACAGAAATAAAAAAAACCTCACAAAGTTTAAAATTCTCAACTAACTATTTCGGTGTCCTTCTTGATGTCTTTCAACTTGATGTCAATCTTCTTTTGATGTTTGCAATAGTTGTCAAGGACCTGACATCAATATTGGTGACATTAAAAAATCCTACTATTTCACATTACATTATTATTCATGTCAGCAATCATATTAACGTCAGCTAATCAAAGCAACAGCACAGATGAATTTGTAACAAAATAACAACTAATGCATATGTGCATAACAACTATGATAAATAATGATAAATAACAACAACACAACAATAGTACAACGAGAACAAAGATAACCAAACAAAACAAAGAACAACAACGACAAACTTTTTTGTCTGGCAAACAAATTTTCGGGCGGTGATTTAAGCAATTAAATTTTTGCATCCGGCTTTGCTGTTTTCGTTGCTTTGGTCGTGGGTGCTGTAGTTGGCGAGGTTGTGGTTGTTTTGAGAATTGGGAAAGATACTGGAAAGGTTGTGGTTTGGTCAGCATTCGACACTTCCTTGAGACCTCATACATGGTTGGCTGTCGCCCCGCCGCGCCACAACATGTCGACGAATCATTTCTTATGAGAGGATCTGTCATGTTTCGTTCATCGCCGTCATCATCATCGTCGTCATCATCATTCACGATATCAGCATCTATAATGACACAGCGGCAAGCAAGCATGCCAACCGTGAAGTTAAACTTGAGAGAAACATCATACACGTATATGAGATATTTCTGGAAGGAATTGATATTTCAAAAATTTTTAATTAACCTCCAACCATCCTCCTCATCTTCTTCTTCTTCTTCATTCCTTTGCAAAACGATGAAGATAATGATGACGAACACGAAGGAAATGATGATGATGATGCCGACGACGATGATGATAATGATGTGGCGCAACAACTGCAGCGACGAGCAGCAAGCGTTTTTGACAATGATTTCTTAGAACAAAGCGATGATAAGGATGACGTTGCTGAAAAAAAGTTAAATTATTTTTAAAACATTTAACTGCTAAATCATGTACATTACTACAATAAAATAACAATATAAACACACACAGACACACACACATACACGCACGCACGTACACATGCACGGAATAGATATACAACAATGAAAACAAACTATGAAACAAAATGTCTACAACGAAATTTCTTTGTCTTTCTAGTGAGTCCGTGCTTCTTCAATATACATTTGCAGTACTCCATCTCCTGAAGATATTAATTTTGAAGGAAAAATTCGTTCTATAAATAACATAATAATATAATATACAAACGAATATAAAGTGCGGTAATAATTTTATATATAAATAACCAAAAAATTGATTCAGAAACAATATTAGCTAATGTAACAACAGTTAACAAATTATTGGTAGCAACAACACTAACAATAACGTACAAACAAAAACTAAAGAGAAACGCTCAGTAAGGAGTTGAAATAAACCATGGTAATCAAAAAACCTGCAATCTCTTCATTAACTCTGGTGTCGGTGCACCAACAGATGTTTCAACCGAGTTCGCCAGCAGATCATTCACTTTCTTAAATATTTTAAATAGTTAATTTTTCATTTAAATTTGAATATATCAGTTTCAAATATTTAAAAAAAAAATTTTGAAAAAATTCTCAAAGATACATCCTCAAAATCCAGCACTTGGAAACTCGAACATAAAATGAAATGGTTATCCGGCTTGTAAAATTCATTTAAGCACACTTGAAAAATGATCATGATGGCAGAATGATGATGAAACATGATCATGCTGAAGATGCCAAGTGAATTGTTTTTTCCAATTTAAAAATTTTTTAAAAATGTTAAAGAAATATTTCGTAGCATTACTACTACTCACTATCACCATAATTTAGAACTAACACCGGCATAATCATCGTTGAAGCATTCACTCATCTTCATCATCATCAACTTCTTCTTCTTCATCCTCATCTTCATCATCATCAACTTCTTCTTCTTCATCCTCATCTTCATCATCATCAACTTCTTCTTCTTCATCCTCATTTTCATCATCATCAACTTCTTCTTTATCATCATCATCATCATCTCATTAAATAAAAATTATACTTAAAGGTTATTCTCTCTCTCTCTCTCTCTCTCTCTCTCTCTCTCTCTCTCTCTCTTCCAAAGTGGATATTGTGTAGTGTATATATAATGCGTTCATTGTTGGTTTTGACTAATACATAATTATACACAACACATACACACACAGACACACACACACACACACACACACACACACACACACACACACACACACACACAGATACAAAAGCAAACAAAAATTTTACATGTGAGTATCATTCATAAAACATCACCTGCAATCGCATAGTCATCATTGCCATTTAACATCATCTCGTCATTACTACAAGTGTGAGTGTCGTCGTCGTCGTCAACATTACGATGACGTCATCATCTCATCGCCATCACGAACATCGTACGGTGACCTACTTTAATGTTTGACCTGGTTCTGCAGACTTGATCATCAACGACTCCATCGAGGTCATTATTTTTGGGTAAGGCCATCTCGTGTCTGCATGATTCATCTTGCAATAACTTTTTTAATTTTTCTTTCAGTAAAATTTCACAAATTTTTTTGTCGTCAAGTTTGTTTTGGTTGTGTTTATAAGGTTGTTGCTGATGTTGCTGATGACCATGATGTCGATGACGATGTTTCTGTGGAAGTGGTTGTGATTCTTTATTTTGTGGTTGTTGTGGCGGTTCAATTTCTTGCTGCTCCTGAGGTTGTTGTTGCGGTGTTTGCTGCAACTGATCTTGTGGTAGTTGCTGCTGCTGTTCCTGTATAAGTGGTGGTGGCTCTTGTTGCTGTTGCTGTCTGGCGTCGTTGTAGATGCAGCATTTTTGCGACTTTTTATGTTGTTGACGTTGTTGCGGCTGCAGTTGTTGTGTTTTAGTGTCGTTGAGGTTGGAGTTCTTTTGCGACATTTTGACAGCGCTGTTGAATTTAAAATGATCGAAAAAAACGTTTAGAGATAATAAAAGAGACATAAAAGAGGCAGTTTGGGATTTGGAAGGAGTGGAGCATCAACTGAACGAACACAATTCCTCGTAGACTACACCGACGAAACGAAATTAAATTAAAATTATTGCCACCGACAACAATGAATTGTAACAAAATATTTGCACCTGGTACTATCAAAAATAAGAAACAAAAACATTAGCAACAATCACAACAACAACAACTACTACTACTACTACTGCTACTACTACTACTATTACTACTTCTAAAACATAAAACCAATAATAATAATAATAATAATAATAAAAAGAAAATTTCCGCTAAAATTTTATGACATTAGTTTCGTTATGGGCGAAAAATGACCCGTCAGTTATGTAAGCTCAATTTCATTTTAAATTAATTCATCTGTGTTGAGTTTGACTTTTTTCTTCTTCCCTTCATTTTCATGTTTATTTTTGATCGCATTTTTCAACTAATTAAATGGAATAGATCGAATAAAGTTCAACAATTGATTTTATCATCAGCGTTTACCAGCAATATATACCTTATACGGTGAGATAAAAACAACAAGAACAACATCTGCAAACAAACCAGTGTCAACAACAGTAGCAACAACAACCACAAAACGAACTGTGGGCGACTCATCTGATCATCTTTAGAGTTGGAGTGAGAAGTCTTGCAAGGTGGAGCCATTACTCCAGATGCTTTCGGTAGTGGCAACGATGATGACGACGATGAAGATGACGTACAATTCCCCTTTCTATCACTTCCATCTGAGCTTTTGCAAGCGGCCACACAATCCACATCATCAGTGTCGGCAGCAGCAGCAGCCACACCAGCAGCATCATCGACATCAGCAGCAGCAGTAGTAGCAGCAGCGTAATAATAATTGTTGTCGCTTCGGTTGCTGTGATCGTTCTTGGCGTACTCGTTGAACATTTTCATGCATTCGCGCAACTTACACTTGGCCACTTTCGTGCTTACTGAAATGTGTCAAGTTTAGTTCGTGCCGGTTGTCATCATCGTTATATTAATAATCAATTTTTTACAACATTTAAAGCGTACCATCTTTCTCATCATTGGCAAGTTTGACAAGTATCATGAGACAATCTGGACACGTGGCACCATTTTTATTCGCTGTCGTTGCTGCCGCCACTACGTCTGCTGCTGTTGCTGCAACTGCAGTCTTTGTTGATGCTGAAGATGCCTTGGTTCTCGAAAGCCGGGCGTTTGATGATGTTACTTTCTGCTTCATTTTCGATGCTTCCTGCCGTACACGAAACAGTTTTCAATTTGTTTTTTGAAATGGCATGGCAAATAAACAAATTACACCAATTTTAATAATTATGGTAATCTGATTATTACAAACTTAGGAAGGAAATTTTATTTTATAAAAAAAAAATAAATTAGAAGCCAACTTTGAAATGTCGCTTGCAGATTCTACAAACGTCGTCGTTGCTACCACCACCATCGTCGCACAGTGCCTGGATGGCTGCCAGCTTCTTCTCACAGTTTGCAACGATATCATCATCACCATCATCATTTTCATCATCTTCATCATCGTCGTCTTTCTTATCATCGACCATCACCAGATTGTTTGGACCGCGCTTCTTGTGGCCACTCAACATTTCAACTTTTAACGAATCATGCCGTTGTGGTGATGACGCTGGATGGCCAACCTTTCTAGAACGATCATCTAACGTATCGTGTTTCATCTTCTCACTCTTTTGCGACTGAATAAATTTTTTTGAAGACTTCTCCCTGCCAACTGAGATGTTTTTAAATCGTTTGCTGTTGGGCGACAACTTTCCAGTTGGAACGTTCGAATAACGACACGGTGTTGACGCTTTTAATGATGCCTTAAGGTTTAGCAAGTCTTTTGCCACTGTTGATTTCTTCTCTGATTTCGCCTGATTGCAGCCAAAATAATTCTTCAGCATTGTAGCCATGGGAAATTTTTTTGACTGTTTGTTGACAATCATACTTTTAGAACTGTTTTCTTTGATGGGACCATTACCTCGCCTATCAAAATCATCTTCGTCTCTTGTCTCTATCTTCTCACCAAAGCTACAGCCATCATCATCTCCGTCATCTTCACATTCATCTTCATAAGTCTCGGCTGCTCGAAGATAAGCACCCCCATCATTTTGCTTGCCATCATAATCACCATCGCCATTAAAAACGCCTAGCTTGTCGATGTACTCATGTATGACGCTCTTATCATCGTCCGCCCCGTCACACTTCTCTCCATTCGCCACTGCAATAAATTTAACAAAAATTCAGAATTGGCGAGCGTTAAAAACTCGCCTGTCGGTCAAATTCGTAACTTTTTTTTATAAGTGGAAGCGTTTTTACCGCAAGATTTTAATGATTGTGTGTATATTTAATGTTTGCAAGAAATTTTTGTATGTTTGTCGTTTAAATATGTTGTTTCAATCTATAACTCAGCACCTGTTGCCTACAATGATACATCTACATATACAGAATATTCTACACACAAATTTCAAGTTTAAAATCACTTTGGTGTCTCATTACAATAAAGATTTTATCAAAATTGAATTCAATGTGTCAAATGGTTACGACACATCGCACATACTTATAAACGGATAAACACGCCAATTCATCACAAATGCACAAACACGCACAAAAACAAGGAATGAACCAACTACGTTCAATATTCTCCTCGACAATTTTATCATTGAAGCATGTTATCAATTCGTAAAATATCTCAAGAAGATTCCTGATAGACATCCGGTTTCCGTCAATGACGTCACAACCAGTGATGTGCGATAGCGACGTGCAGACGACGTCATTCGATAATACATCGATGACTATCTGAACGTTTCTAGATTTTTCCTCCGTTGTATCAGCATTCCTGTTAACATCTATAACGAGATAGAATTTAGTGATAGTGATTGAACTGAACGACAGGTAACGATAGTAATTAAAATAATCTCAAAAAGAGACCTTGTAAAACTTGTTTGGTGAAAATTTCAAAGATAGCCACAAATATTCTATCACTGATATGGGATACTTTCTTTACTCTATACGTTAGTCCGCATGTTTTTAATAAATAGTTCGTCGTGTCTACAAGCTCTGAGTATGTTTGTTTGTTCATTTTTTATTTTATTAATTCGTTCGCTTATTCATTCATTCGTTCGCTTATTCATTCATTCATTCATTCATTCATTCATTCATTCATTCATTCATTCATTCATTCATTCATTCACCAACATCCAAAAAGAAACCTTGATCTATTTTGGACAACTTATCATTATTGGCCAGGAAAATACCTGATATTTAAAGCATTAATAACATTATAATCATTATTATATAATATAAATCTCAGCATGGAACTATAACTAAAGTTTGGCCTAATTACTTAATAATAAATAAATTAATTAATTAATAATTAAATAAATTAATTAAATAATTAATAGATTAATAATTAAATAAATAAGTATGATAAACACCACCTTCCATCATACCCACAATAACTTCAATAAGTTTAGTGATAGAGTGGCAGTCATGTGATACCAGCATATCTGGTTTTATATGATCTAATGGTGTGTCAATTGCGTAGGATAGAGTTTTCAAAAGCTGCCTGTAGGCAATTAGCTCTTTTTCTTCTTCTTCATCATCGTCATCGTTATCTTCGATCGGTGCACCAGTTGGTACTGTTGTTTGTTTTAAAAAATATTATTTATTTTATTTGAAAAAAAAACGATTTCTCAAAAAAAAAAAATAGTTTTTATATCATGTATTTGTTACATCACGATTCCTTATTTGTTAATTTCACAATAAAATTCTCACAACTATTAACAGAATGAAGGTTATTAGTAGAAAAAAATTGATAAAGCAGATTTTATTATTATTATTGTTGTTGTTGTTGTTGCTGTTGTTATAATTATTACAAGAGGGCAAGTTAACCCTGATCGAAATAGGTAGGGCAGACAGAGTGGAATATTGTATAGAATAGTGAGGAGTTGATTTGTCTGATAGATTTTACAATTTTCTTCATTTTCAGAGTTGAGAGTAAGTGATTCAACAGGACCAGGGTTTCTGTCGGTGGAATCAATTAACTGATCAAAATTAATATTATATTTAATTAAAATTAAATTGAAGAAATTATGAGGTGTAATCATTGAACAATGATAACAGATATCGTCATAGTGACCTGAATCATTGCATTCATCTTCTTTCCCCTGTTCCTTTTTCTGTACTGAAAAATTATTAAAAAAAAAGATTAACCAAATATAATGAATAAACGTTTTTCAATTTCAAAACTAGTTAACCGATATTATAAGAATGACTAGACTGAATCTGTTACTTAATTCTATACAGTTTTTTTTATTTACTACCTAGTTAATTTGATAGTTTATTACTATTTCACTAATTAATAGAAAAGAATATTTACATAAAATAGTTTCGTGAAACAATTCGAATAAATTTTTAATAGCAAGTTTGTCGTGGTTCAACAGGGCGTCAGGGGTGATGTGGCAGAGGCTGAGGTCTAGGAAGCTGGAGAAGTTATCCAACACATGTTCCACTAGTGATTTTCCACTCTGCTTTTCTGAATCTGCCAAAAAATAAAAGTTATTGAATCTAAAAAAAATAATGAAACTATGTTTAAAATACTTTTGCATTTAACTTTAAATTACAATTTAATTCGAAATTTAAAAGGCAAATTAAGTAAAGTATTGACTTATTTATGAAAAGTATTAAAAATTAAAGTAAAAAAAAATTTAAAGATGAAGATTTCTACCTTTTTTTAAATCACAAAGTCTTGAGAAGCAAGTGTAAATTAATTTGGCATCAACTTCTTCTAATTCTGCTGGCTTTATATTCAACTTTAAATCCTCACAAACGGTTTTTACAAGCTGCAAAACTGTAAGTTGATGAAAAAATTATAAAATGCTATTATAGCATTATAAAATAAATAAGGATTTTATTTTTTATAAAAAATGAATTTTAAAAAAAGTTGTTTTTTTCTAATTTTTTAAAAATAAAAATGAATTCAGAAAATGTTTTGAAGTAACCTGTCTTGTCAGACAAGGCAGTCATTTTATTTTATTTTAAAAATTATTTAATATTAATCAAAATATAATAAATAATTTTTTATAAGTAAACATATGATGTTTTGTTTATAGTTTCATGGTTGATAAGCAAGCCGAAGATATTGAATAACGTTAAGATCTTTTGGAGAATGCTTTTTATTTTCAAACCAAACTCATACATTTAGAAAAACTAACTGTTAGAATTGAGAGTATTTTCAATATTCAATCATTTATCACATTCACTTCTTTCTCTCTAGATATCTTTCTATATATATATATATATATATATATATATATATATATATATATATATATATATATACACGGCTAGTACGAACTTAGCAAACTAGAAGAAACATTTGTACAATTCGTTTGTCAAAAGCATATATATATATATATATATATATATATATATATATATATATATATATGTATATATATATATATATATATATATACATTAGTTAATACAAGTTCATTAATTCATTAATCAAAAATATTCACACAGTATACGGAAAATGATATAGCAAAATAAAATTAAAATTAAACCAATCCTTTTATACAAAATAATAATCAGTCAATATGAAGTTGCCTAGGCCTTTGATTAACCAGATCAATGAAAGAGTTCAGTACAGCCACACCTCTGTTCGTGTTGAAGAGTTTTATTAAAGCCACCAGCAAGACAAATGTCCAACCAAGCCATTCATAATAATTTGCCCGAACTAGTACAGACGATACAGGTCCCAGCATGTCCCTAGCCTCCACTGTTACACTCATGTTTGGTTCTAATCCTTGAGTTTGAATTAGGTGAAAACAATTTTGAATTTCTAAAAGAATGAAATAGAATAATTGTAATGTTTGTTTTTAAAAGTTATGAAAATTAAGTTTTAAATAAGAAATATGAGAAAGGCAAACCAGTGTTATTAGATAAGTAAGCCATCAGGGATGCCAGTGACCTATTTGAGTCAGTGAATCTCGAAAAAGATTTTCCACTATGGTAGACCAAAACTGTGGGCACAGCATATATTCCAAATCTGGAGTTGAAACTTTTTAAAAAAAACAAGCAATCAATTTTATGAGCAAACATTAAGTAAAGAAATAGAAAAATAAAATACAGAGACTGATAAAAATGTTATGTCACTATGCAGAAAGATGAAAATGAGAAAAAGTGAGAAAGTGAAAGAGAAAGAAAATATTTAATTATACAAACTTGCTGAAACTGTAGGCCTCAATGGCAACTACATCAAGATCTGGAAAAGCTCTAGCTAAGGCATTGTAGTGAGGGGCAATCAAAGCACTGAAGAAACACCATCGAGCATAATAAAGGACAACAACACAATGGTGTGATTTGCCATGTTCGGAATTTATGTGAAACAACAATTGAGAAATGTTTAAAATCTGTACTTTTGGTTCAACTTCATTCTTTCGTCTGATTGGAACGCAAGTTACCTTTGCATTTTCTTTTGATTCATTTGAGGAACTGTTTTGTTCAAATGATGAAAGAAGTTTTCAAATTTAAATGATGAAATAAAAAAAGTTTGTAAACTTAATTTACCTTAAATGAAAACTTGAATAATCACATCTGTAATTATTTATTACATCAAAAAAATTCATAGGAGGGCAAATTGTGAATGAAGTGTGTCCTTCACAGAATGCAAAGCATTGACCTTGACTAGAAACTGTGGGATGGACATTATGAATCTGAGGTGTGGTGCTAGTCTGTGAAAATGGTTGAAATGTGAACATCCTATCAAAGATAGAACTTTCTGAAATGTTGCCATTTGTCTCTTCTCCTATGCTGTTGCCAAACACTAAATAAAAAAAGAATAAAAATTTTATATTATAAAATAAGTAAAATAAATGTAAATAATAAATAAATATTGTTATTGTTAGATATTTATTTTTTATATTCATATATTATATATATATTATTTTATTATGATAATAATATATCATTTGTCATCTTGTGGCCAGCAGTCGCGTTTCAAACTGGGCTACGGTTGGTTAGGGATAAAATAAGTGTGTTCAGGTCCACAGAACACAACAACCACACAACAACACAGATTAAAAAAAATTTAATTAAAAAATAAAATGAAGCTTTTACCTATAACTATAAGACTAAAGCAATACAAATTGAGCTTCAGGAGCATTGTCGGTAACGACACAATAACTAACAACCAAAATTTTAATCAAAATTCACGACATAATGAAACAAAATTAAATTAAAATTATTTTAAAAAACTTATTTAGCGATTATCAAAGGCTAACACCTAATTCTAAAAGTTAATTTTCAACAAATTTTATTAACATTAAGATATAATTGAATTATTTTAAAAATTTATTACAAATAAATATTAAATTTAAATTAAAGTTAAATGCATTTATAAAATTTGTTTAATTTTTTTAATTGCATAGAAGGTATAACCTTATCAAGACAATTCGATGTTTTGATTAATTAATTTGTCATTGTGTTTATTAATTATCGCTTCATTAAGGATTGTTGTGGTTTTGTAGACTCTTTGATTTTTATTTTTTGATTTAATCAAACTTTCTGCTGGAAATGAGAAAAAAGCCAAAATTGGAAGACTGCGCGTACGACAATCGATCCAGCGAAAAATCGCTCAACACGGACAGGCAACTAAGACCCAATAGGTCTTACTGCTACAACTACTACAAAACTAATAAAAGTAGCAGACACAAACAGGTAACTTTCAACAAAGTACCCGCTAGCAGCAAGCAGGCCACCAACCACAATTCAAACGAAGATGACACCGATGATTATTGTGACAATGATTATGAAAATTTTTGGCAGGAGTCGGATGATGAATCCATCAAGTCTGAATATTCTGAGAAACTTTCTTCTGTAGCAGAAGAGTATGACCACCAAAAGAGAAAAAGCAACCTGAGAAAAACTCACATCTATGTGTTCGAAGAACGATCAAATAATTCTAAGTTGAAACTGCCCCCAAGTTCCACTGATTTGGTTCTGGACAAGAGATACATAATGCAGGCATTAGGAATATATGAGGTGCTGAATCAGTATTCAGTTATATTACGTCTGACTATTTTCACCTTTGAAAATTTTTCTGCTGCTTTGCTTGAAAATGATAACTCAAAGTTGCTATGTGAATGCCACATAAATCTGCTAAAATGCATTTTGAGAGTAGATGAGGCAAACACATTATACTCCTATAAGGACAGCAAAGATAGTGTCTCGATATCATATTGTTGTATGGATGAACTAACGTGGTTTGAAGCAGTTGGTATGTATTTTCAAAGCATTGCTCGTAATTTATCATCAGAGGTTGTTAACAGATTGAATGGCATGTTTGCCAAACAGCTGTATACTAATCTAGTTGTAGAAGATCGCCTGTTTCTGTTGATTCAGTTAGTTGAATTATTTCTGATGACAAATGTGGCCAGGGATGTGCTGTTCAAGGAAGAGGAAGTCAAACATGAAGAACATTGTAGATATTGTCACAAGTTAGTCTCCTTTATTGACTGTTATCCCAAATTATATACATGTATTATGTTGTATCATCTTGGGTTGATGATTGCTAACTACATTGCATTCAACGATGCTGTTTTACTGAAACAACATTATCTTTTTGTCATTCACTATTGTTTTTCATCTTTGCATTTGCTGTCGTTTATTATTCAAAATTTTTTTTTGATAACTAGCTAATTTTTATAATGAATTAGGCGTGGAAATTTGTTGTGCTGTGAGTCGTGTCCGGCGATGTACCACCTGACCTGTATTGATCCACCACTGGATAACGCCCCATCTGGTGACTGGTTCTGTGTGGCATGCTCCAAAACCAAGGTGCATATTTGCAGTACTGTGCTTATTTGTCGTTCTGTGCCACTATGAATACATCTTACTCGGAATATTATGAATTATTCAATTTATTTGATTTATGGCATTGGCGAAGGAAATTGTTAAAATAGAGTACAACAGTATATATATAAATAATTTAATTTACTTTTCAAAAATACCAAAGATCATAGAAGCAGAAATGATGAATTCTTCTTCAGTTACAGCAGCAGCAACGACAACATTTTCATTACCTGCTACAACCTCCACAACGACGACACCATTTACTTCATCACCTGCTACTCCAACAAGCAGCAAGTCCAGCATCAATTGTTTGAGTTTGGGGAGGAGAGAGCCACTTGGGCATGATAGGCATGGCAGGATGTACTGGTTTCTGGCTAGGAGAATTTTTGTGTATGTCGTTGTGGCCTTGTTGTGTTTGTTGTTTCATTTTATGTTTTGCATTTTTTGTTTAGTTGTGGAGGTTTTTTGTTCTGGTTTTGTGTTGCATTCTCAAATACTTGCTTGTTTTCTATATAAACATGTGTTGTGCATATATATTTTTCAAATATTTTACTCTGTGTTTCATTAAATTCAATTTAAATGTTTTATATTTTAGTTTGTTTTTGTAACTTCTACTTTTATTCAATTCAGTTTTTTCTTTAAAAAAAGCATGTAAACAGCATTTAAAATATGAAATCCTACCAACCAACCAACCTACCTACCCACCACACACAGCTCAGATGAGACATCACTAGTGGCATACTACTCAACAGAGCCACAACTCGAGGAATTGTTGATGTGCCTGGATGGCAAAAGATGGGAATACAATCTTGTTAATGCAATCAAAGACATTAAAAGTGATATCATTAATGACATGAATATAATTCTTGCATTAACTTCCAAGTACAGGAGTGGACAGAAATCTTCCATATCGTATGATCGTGGTTAGATGGGTTATGTTTGTAAATTAAATTTGTGGCACATGTTTTTTTTTATTAAAACGAATTTGTACTTTTTTAATTTGTTAATTTTTTTAAGATCATCTGTTATCATTGAATATATATTTTTCTGGTTACTCTTTGCAGATATAATTTTCTGCTCATGTTTGTATATTAATTCATATTTATTTTCATCATCCAGAAAGGACAGAGCTGAGAATGAATGAACTTCAAATTCGTAAAAACCATAAGAAGTGTAGAAATAAAAACATCAACAGCACCAGTAACAACAACAGCAACGACAACGTTGTAGATAGCAATACTAACATTGTAAACCAACACATAACCTGTGAAAGCAGCATCAAGAATGATGATGATGATGATGACGACGACGATAGTGATGATAGTAGTGATGACATTAATGATAGTAGTGATGATGATGAGGAGGACGACGACGATGATAATTTTCATTGTTCTCAAGATTTTTTCAAATTAGGTTCCTTGTCTACTCACTTTTTTGATAACTTGTGCTAACTAACTTTCATAATCGTCGTTGTTATCATAATTGTTGCATATTGTATTGTATTGTGCTGTGTTGAAGATTTATAAATAATCATCATCTTCACCATCGTCTTCACCATTCTCTTCACCATTGTCTTTACCATCGTTTTCACCATTCTCTTCACCATCGTCTTCACCATCGTCTTCACCATCCTCTTCACCATCGTCTTCACCATCGTCTTCACCATTCTCTTCGCCATCCTCTTCACCATCCTCCTCACCATCGTCTTCACCATCGTCTTCACATGACAGGACAGGAAGGTAGCTACAAATCCTATGTAAATGTTTACACTGATGAAATCCTTGCTCTCAGCAAGCAGCAGCAAGTGGAAGAACGAGAGAAGAGACGACATCTCTCCTACAAATTCTCACTGACCACTGTAGCTGAGTTTACATGGGTGGATTCCAAACATTCATCATCTAGTGATGTCAAGCCAGGCAGAGTCTATGGAACTGTTTCAGACATAGTTGACATATTGAGGAGGACTATCATACATTTGGAAGACATCATACCAAAGTTTGTTCTGCCTGTGTTGTGTTGTGGTGAGTAGGCAGATGTGTTGCTATTTTGTGCTGTGATGAGTAGTATACGCTGTAGTGGCTCCTGTTGTGATGAGGAAGATGAAGATCAAAGTTTCAACTAATTTTCTGGTATATCTCATTAATATTTTTTACTGGACACAGATGTTTTCTACATAGCAACTGGTACTTACACAGAGATCGCTGGTTGAAGGCCATGAACATGTGTCAGACGACGAGGGAGTTCAGTCTGGCACTGATGATCCTGGAGGCATGCATCAAGCCAATGCTCTTTAACTCTGTGTGGAGCAAGGCTCAAGGTTTAGTCTCTTTTTGCATTTTAAATATAACTTTATTGGAACTTTGATTAAACTGTTTTTGAGTAAAAGTTGTTACCAGGTGAAAACATTTTGCAATCCTCTCATCAATCAGGTCACACGTGTCTCTTTAGGACGACGCAACAAGAGAGAGATGATGAGAAGAAGAGAGAGCTTGATGTGAGAGTGAGTTTGAAGGAGGAAATGAATTATTGTCTGGCCATGAAAGTTGTCAAGTATTCACTGGGACTTAACCATCAGGTCAATTCATTTGACATTCGATGTTATTGCTACCATTGTTGTTTCTTTGCCATTCTTGGGGTTATTGTCGTTACCATCAATGTCTTGTTGTTGTTGTTGCTAATGGATATTGCTTTTTGAATGGAGAATTGTTACTGACCATTAACAAGAACATCATCAACAATAACTGAACAACAGCATCAATCAACAATAAGACCAACATCATCGACAATGATATCAAACAATGATAAACATCTCTTGAAAAACAATTTAAACATTCAGGTCTGGAAGCAGAAGGGTGAAGAGTACAGGATAACAGGCAAACAAGCTTGGATGTGGGTTGCACCTACCAGACTGACAAAAAGACCCCTGCTGAAAAAACGATCAACATTGCTGACAGATGGCAGCACCCAAAAAATTAACGTTAATGATGTTGATATTACACAAACAGTTATAGTTCCAATGGAGACACCATCCTACTTCTCATCATCTCCAGCGACGACATCGTCTGATGATGGCGTTTTTGATGTTTCTCAATGGCTCAACACCAGGTCTTCATCATCGTTGTTGTCGTCAACATCGTCATCTTCGTCGTTATCGTCATCCTCTCGAAAGCCTCTATCTTTTTTACATAGCCTCCTAAATGAAAGAATAAAATTTGATGAACGACTGAATGAATTAAAGGAGAAAGTTGCATTAAAATTGAAAGAGCATCAGAGAGATGATGAGAATGATACTGCTGGTCATCTTGATGATGATAACGGAGGGAATGGTGGGAAGGAAAAAGTGAAACACGTGAATGAATTCTTCAAAAAATTTGAACAATTTATGAAGTTGTGTGACAAAGTTAATTGCAATCAATCAAAATCCACCTCACTTAACGTTCATCCAACAGCAGCCACGGCCACCACATCAACCACAACAGCAGCTACAACCACTACATCAACCACCACAACAGCAGCTGCAGTTATTTCCGCATTTGAATCTCAGAGAGAAGTGTGTAGAAAAATTTTGAAGCAGCTTAATACAACATCAGATTTCACTCCCCTTGTCATAAACCTTAAAAAATTATCAAACAGCATCTGCTTCACTCGACTGAAATCAAGTTTAAATGGTGGCCTGCCAAAAGCTCACAACTTTGAGATAGTCAGACGCAAAAATGCATTAAGTTTATATGTTATTGAACTTCCTAAGCTCAAAAAGTTGTCAAGAAAGGCAGGTTTCGTTGAAACCCCTGGCTACATTTACAACGGTTATGGAAATTTTTGCTCGTACACATCCCAGTTCTCCAACAATCAAAGTAATTCATATCAACTGAACAGCTGCCCTCGACCTTGTTTCCAGACTGCGTGGAGGTACAGAACTCGAACGGCCAAGAACCTTTCAACAATTTGCTTGCAGCTGAAAATATTGTGGGTTTGCATTAAGTGGGACGACCTCTACTCAACTTATCCAACTAACGGCCTACTCGTTTACGATGAGACCAACGAAAATGGCTTGAGTGACGTCACGGTGACGTGCGAAATGATCAAAAGAAGAATTTTAACCTCAAAATTTGATCCTGTAAATTATAAGATCGAGTATCTCGTGCAGAAGACGGTAACTCCGAAAGATTCACCTGTATCAGCCGCTCCTACGTTGCCTGCTTCAACACCAGGCAAGCTTTTGTTCCTTTTTGAATCATCATATCTATCCACTATATACCATATCATGCCATCTCATATTAAAATGTTATTTGTCACTTCTTTGTTGCCATGCAGTATAATGATTTTATAATTGCATTATTAATTTTAAGAAAACGCTACAACAATAGCACACCACCATCATCACACACGTTGCTCTAATAACTATGCAATAACTAGCTTCCAGAAAAACCTCGCTGATTTGAATAGCAGCATATTTAGAGATCTGCTGCCTTTGAAAATAACAGCAGCAACAATATCATAACAACACTAATGATGGCGTTACACAACAACACTTTTAACAAAACAATCAACAGAAAGATCAACTCAGAGGACAGGCCTGAGAGAGCGCAAGGTTCTGGAGGCAGTGACCAGTAAGAAGTGGGTGGAAGAGGATCAGCTGGAACTCTGGCAGATCAGATACTTCAATGAGATGTAAGTCTCTTTTTTTCTCTCTCTCTCTTCCTCTCCTCTCTTTCCTCTTTCTCTCTGTTCCCCCTAGATGTTTTTGTCCTATGCATCGTATAATGTGTTGTATGCTGTTGTATATCTAGTAAAATGTATAGTGCTTGTATATGATGAAAGCATTCAGTTACATTTCTAAGCAGATGTTGTCTTAATTTTCTTTTCGTGTTAATCATCGTCATCCACAAATATTAAAAATTTTTTCAGGTGGGACAGGCAGCTGAAGTCCCAGGCGGCTGGTGGTGGTGGTGATAAAAAGATGTCTAAAGTTCCACTTGCATCATCACCGTCGTCGTCGTCGTTTCCATCGCCATATCGCACGCCATCGTCTACTTTGAGAGTTCAAAAGGCTTTAAAATTGTTAACTTCCAGCGTTTCAACTGAAACAAAATCTCCCGCCATTTCTTCCACCACCTTCAACACCATCAACAACAAAAACGACAGCCGCAACCTCAACCGTCTCCCAACGACGTCAAAAGGAAACAGTATTAATGCCAGTAAGGACGACAAAGGTAAGAGGAACAATGGTCCTCTGTGTAGTAACATTGAAGATGAGTTACTGAGAAAGAGGGTGGAGATGCAACAACGACGGCTTAACACCAACGTTAACAAGGTCCAAAGCAGTTCATTAAACGAGGTAAACGCTAGCAGCAGCAGCAATAGCAGTAGCGACAACAGCAGCAGCACCAGCAACGACAACAGCAATACTAGCCACAACATCATAAAACCAAATTTAGTTATAAAGAATAACAACATCAACATTCCGGAATTTTCACTGAGTGATCTCATCAAAAACATTAACATCATAAAAAATCCTGATGGCAAGATTGATCTCGTTGGCTTGCAAGAGGGTCTCGTTTTGTTGTTGATGCTTTTTTTTTGTGTGTGTTGTCGTGTATTGCTGTCGTGTTGTTGTTTTTTGGTGGTTTAGATAGTGTTGTTGTTGTCGTTGTTATTATCTGGATAATTATTGCTGTATATGACTTCTGATTGAAGATACGTGTGTGTGTCTTCATAGCTTCTGATCGTACACTCACTTGCATTAAACAGGTCAGGAAATAATTCGCATGCCAGATGGGAAGATAAAGGTCAAGTTCACTCAATCCTTTCCCATCCTCACACATCACGCTGCGGGTAGTCACAACAACAACAACACTTGCAACACTAATGTAGATAGCAATAAAACAAATCCATTTAATGACGTTCACAATTCGAACTGCAGTACCAACGGTAAACTATGTGATCAGTCTGCTGTCAACACTAACACTAACAACACCATGAAAGATTTAGGTTCATTACAAAACGCTGAGAACATATCAACTGACAAACAACAATATCAGCAACAGTCTTGTGATTTAAAATCTTCTGATAAAACCAACACATCATTGAAATCATCACCATCAAAAGCATCATCACCCCTATGTGGCTCGCAATCGTCTGCTAACAACAACACAGCAAGAACTACTACTTCTTCGCTGGAAGTGACAACAGTAGCAGTAGTTGCTACAGCCTCTGTTGCTACTGTTGCTAGCAGCGGTGTGGTGGGTTGTGAAACTGCTGCCAATGAGTCTAAGCGATCTATCAAGAAAAGAAAATTTTTCAAGTCTAATTACAACCAGTCTGGTGATACTACTACTACTACTACCGTTGCTGTTACTACTATTACTACTACTACCAATAATAATAATATGGGCGTTAAAAATGCCCTTTACACAAATACTAACACTACTACAGCTGCGACTACTGATGCTACTACCTTTACTGCTATTACTACATCGGCTAGTTTTAGCGCTACTACTACTACTACTAATAATAATAACAACGTAAATTCCATGAATGATGGAAATAATAATAATAATAATAATAGCATTATTGCAGACAACACTATTTCTCGTTCGAAAGTTGGACCGAATAGCATGGATGAAATGGTGAAGTTCAAAAATCAGAAATCGTCCAAAAATAATAATAATAATAATAATAATTTAAATAATAATAATAATAATACTTTTAAAGGCAATGATAATGCTAATATCAATAATGATTATAGTAGCAACAGTAGAATTAGTGGTGATAATGATATTAATATTTGTAATTATTCATTTGATAGTGATGACAATAATAATAATAATAATAATAATAATAGTATTGATTGTAGAAATGATATTAATCATCATCATCATAATCGTCATGATCCTGATAATAATAACAACTTCAATAGTAGTAGTAGTAATAATAATAATAATAATAATAATAATAGAGATGATGATAATGATGATCAGAGGAGTAAACAGGCCTCGAAGATTCTGACGGGCTTGAAGAATATTTTTAAAAATAATAAAATACGAATCAACAGCAACAACAACAATAGTATTAATAATAATGATAATATTAATGTTAATAGTACTATGACTACTACTACTACTAATAATAATAATAATAATAATAATAATAATAATAGTGGTAGTAATGATGATGATGATGGTAATGATAATTCCGACCACCTACTAAATCATAGCAATGGTGAATATGAAAATATAATTAACGATAAAGATTATGATGGTGATGATAATAGTAATAATAATAATAATAATGAAGATATTAATAATAATAATGATAATAATGATTGTGAATTAGGTAACAGTCGAGAGGACGATTTTGTATGTAAGCCACTAAATCAAAATCTGTCGACGTCACCTTTTCATAATAATAATAATAATAATAATAATAATAATAATAATAATAATAATAATAATGATAACAATAATATTAATAATAACAATAATAACAATAATAACAGTAATAACAATAATAAGATAAATAACAATAATGCCTGTATTAGTAATGAAATCCTTTACAATGCGAACGGTGATCTTCAAAATGATTGCAACAATTGTCCTCCTAGCGGTGCGGCTTGTTGCTGCAATGTCAACAACGATGATAATGACGTCATTAATAATAGTAATAATAATGATGGTGGTTATAGCAATAATGGTAATAATAATAATAATAATGATCATTTGTCACCATTATCATCATCGCCAGCTACAAAGACAGCGGCAGCACAGCTTATTCCAGTGGGCGAGTTTTCTAATGAGAAAATAGTTGCCAAAGAACTGTTCAGAACTTATAATAATGAGGATGATGATGATGATGATGATGATGATGATGATGATGACGACGATAATGAGGATGATGATGATGATGGTAGTGATAAAAAAGGTGATAAAAAAGGTGATGGTGATGAAGAGGAGGAAGATGCACGAAAGTTGCTTTTTGATGGCAAGCACATTTCTGGACAGGCTGGCATCAATATCAACAACATCAGCAACGATAACAATCGCAACGATTTCATCAACAACAAAATCAATGATGACAACAATGAAGTTGATGACAACAATAAAGTTGATGACGTCAGTGTCTCTAAAGACGCCATTACCAAAGATCCTAAATGTAGAAAACGTAAGTCTTCGAGATTGCAGTTGATGGGAGAAAGTACTGATAAAAGAAGAAAGGCTAATGATAAAGTTGCTAATGATAATAATTCACCATCCAACAATGCTAGCCCTCGTGCTAGACATGGTATGAAAAATAGTAACAACAACAACAACAATAATAATAATAATAATGACGTCATAAATTTTGTTGATAATGTAAATGACATCGTTGCTGCTGATGGTGATGTAGAGCTGCATTGCGTTTGCAGGACACCGTATGATCCTACTCAGTAAGTTCGATTGCTATTTCGATTTCAATACTTGCTCTTTTTTTATTCTTTGCCTTGCTATGATTAACTTTCTTGTTGTGTTTTTATTGTTGCTTATAGAAAGCTTTTTTATTCATTTAAAGTGAAAAATTGAGATACGTATTTGAGATCGTGTGTAGAATTAAGAATTTATTTATCAGTAATAGTGAAGGCTTTTTTGTAATAGTTTCATCTGAGTTGGATTGAATCATAAAAATTTGATGTCACTGTAGATTCTACGTTGGATGCAACCATTGCGCCGGCTGGTTCCACGGGACTTGTGTGTCCCTGACAGTTGAGGATGCTTCGAGAATTGAATGCTTCATCTGCCAGAACTGCCAGTCATCAAGCAACAACAGCTGCAGTAGCAACCAGTCAGATAGTGAACAACTTCACTGTCTGTGTAGAACTCCTTATGATGAAACCAGGTCGGTAGGTTGGCTGGTTTGTTGGTTGGTTGGTTGTTTGTAGTCGTGTGATTTCAATATTTTATTATTTCAATATTGATTTTTTGACCAATTCTGAACATGGGTTTTAGTTAATTTACATTGATTTTTTGATTATACAACTAGTTAAATTGACCAGATAACTAGATGAATTTGCGAATATTTAACCGAAATTACTAATTTGATCCAATTGTCGCACATTAATTAAACACACTGTCAAATGTACAGCCTCCACTTGTTATTATTAACATACAATTATTGACATCAACATAGATTCTATATAGGTTGTGATGTTTGTCTTGGATGGTTCCATGTGGAGTGTGTGGGGCTGCCAGCATTAGAAGCTACCAAGTTAAATTCATTTAAATGTCCCTCCTGTAAGTTGTCCCCCCTCCAAAACAAACAAATGGTATCGACCTTATCTCCAGGGCAGAAGGCCAAGTTGTTTAATCTTATAAATGCCCTTAAGGTGCTTATCTATGCTTATCATATAGTTGTTTCTAATCTATTCACTAATACGTTGACCCTTAGTGATATGATTTTTTCACTGTAATCACCATAGTCTTCATAGCTTGTTGATTAGAGTAGCAAAATGATTGGAGTAAATATGTTTAGTGATAACATAATTTGTATGTAATAATTTGTAATAATTATTAATTTAATAAATTTTAATAATAATTATTTTAACAAAATATTTTATGAAATCGCTGTAGTCTTCACCGCTGTCTACGCTGTTCTTAGACGAGACATTGACAAAAAATAGAAGAGGTAGTCTGTGTTCTACTTTTTCAGATTCTGAAAATTCTCTCATTCATTTTTTCTTCTTAGATAACTAATAAATGTCAAGGGTATGGCTATTTTTAGTTTCATTACGTAATATAAAATATATATATACATATATGTGGATCCACTTTATAATGATGGCGATTTTATAATTCAGTGAAGTCAAAGGATAACTTATATTTTTGTAAAATTCCTTTGAACTTTTTTAATCTGTGAGCAGCTTTAGAACTTTACTTGAAGTGTTTTATTCTTGATCTTATCAACGAAGTATATTAGCCATTTCTAATTGCACTTAGAATTTTTTATCATCATTTTCATCTTCGTTATCGTTGTCATCATCATCATCGTTATAAATGCTACTATCGTTTTCACCATCCGTATAACCATCATCACTATCGCCATCATCGCGGCCACCATCGTCCTATCACAAGGTTTCAAGTACATAGAGAGCAAATTGCTGATTGATGGATACAGAAATGTTGAAGAGTTCGAAGATGACTTTAACCTCTTTTTCGGTGATTTGCGTTACCAGAGCCTGAGGCAGTCGCAAGAGTACAAAGATGCCAGCAGATTGGAGAGTCTCTTCCATTATAAGATGCAGAAGATCGTCAAGAAATGTTTCTGAAGGACTGTTAATCTTTCTTTTTTAGTTTTCATGTTTAGTTCTTTTGTTAATTTACTGTTTTATTCAATTTTTCTTTTATAATAATTTTAAGTTTTTATTATAATTCCACCAGTGTAACAGCGCTAATTTTATGCATATATTAATTTTTAAAACCAGAAAGTTGGTTTCGTTCATGTCCATTTTAATTCTCTTATTTTATATAACATTGATTTCTGAGTCATTGAAATGTTTAACGCGTTGAAATTTAATATTTATTTGCATGTTCAAATGGATCTCCGTTTTTTTTTTAATTTTTATAAACATTAAAACGTGAGTAGAGATAATAAAAGGTGATCAGGATTCAGTGCGCCAGTCAGGTCAGGCTGACGATTTCGGAACATTTGACATCATAACCACTTTTTTGTCTATTATCATCGTGCTGATCTTTCATATATCGTAATGTATGTACATAATTTATTGTATCATAATAATGACGTCATAATAATGACGTGTGCTGTTGTTCACTTCTATGTCTGAACGTTTCGCTAGTTAATTTTTTTTATTTAATTTGTAATTTTTTTTAAAGAGTATATTTAATTTTTTTTTTATGAATTTCTGTGTTTTGCTGGCTAATGAAGGACAGATGGGAATCAATGGCCTCGATAATGAAGACTTAGTGTTGAACCGCGTTGTAATGCCATTTAGACCACCGATCAAATGTTTATTATTAAATATTTATAAACAGTAATTTGTAGTAATTTTTTCATTTTATAAAAAATTAGTAAAATGTAACAGTAAATTAGGATATGCGTAACTTTAACAACAATAATTAGCGAGGAAACGTTTTACTTGAATGTTTGTGTAAAGAAAAACTTTCTCATAGGAAAATAATGTTTAGTTAAATCAGAAAATGTTCAGTGAAAACAGAATGCTAGTAGGGTTTATTTATTCATGGAGTACCTAACTTTGGTCATGAAATTTCAAGTTCTACCACACCCTTCTCTGTTTACTTCGTTTCTATTTAAAAATAAATAAACTCCAGATTTGAATTCGGTAATGTATATTATAAAATTAAAAAATATTTATATAAAATTAATATAGAGCGATCGACTGTATGTACGTATGTAACAATACAACTGTATGCATATGTATGTAACAATTTAACTGAATATATGTAACAATTTGACTGAATATATGTAACAATTTGACTGAATATATGTAACAATTGGATGTCTGTATTTAACAATTCGACTGTATGTATGTATCTAACAGTTCGAGATAATCGGATTTAGAACAAATATTATTTGAGGTTATAAATATCGTGTCTCTATCATTTTATAATAAGATTTATAAGGTTAAAACTACAAGTTATGCATGTGTATATATATATATATATATATATATTTGTATATACGCATGTGTCGAACAATACATAAATGTATGCATACGTCAATTATTGGTTAAAACAAAGTTAAAACAAGTTCCTTCAATAAAACGGAAGTAACAATAGCAAGCGGTCGTCAGTCAGTCTCATTGACTTGAATCACTAGCGTTCAAAATAGAAATATGATTGAGAAGATGTTCGAGAAATGACGATTTTTATATCTTATAAATAATAAAAATGTACGTAGATGTGTGTCTACGTCATCTTAATCAAATAAATTAACGATTGTAAAAAGAACGACACTAGCATACTGCAAAATTGTTAATAAACAGTGAAGGTCAAAAAATTTCGTTCCCTTCATCAATGCTAGTCTCGCTGCTGCAAGCTTTGTTGATTTTCTCGCTTTCAACAACTTTCTTCTCGTCATCTGGAAATTGCACCGAAAGAGGAACCAGGCCGAGCAGAACCATGTGACGCTGGTAGGCCTTTGAAGCTCTGAAGTACTTGTCTGTCCCGTGCAGACGATCCAACACACCCAACATCCCAAAATTATCTACGAACCTTGTTGACAGGTAAACAAATTTGAAATTAATGAAAAAGGGCTTTTGAGAGGCTATCAATTTATCTAATTTAAAATAAAAAACAGTAAGTTTTTTTATTTTTTTCATACATACTGTTCATAGGAGTGAACTGTTTAAATAGAATTGAAAAATAAACTGTAAAAAAAACAAAAAATGAGGCCGACTTGAGATGATGGAAGTCATGAGCCTCGGGTGAGAAGAGGAAGGGTAGGTGATAGCCGCAATGAGAAATGGAGGTTGAAGCCAGTCCAATCGTGCACCACATAATGGCCGTGGCTATGTGTGACTTCATAACGATGGGCCCCATGATGATTGGCAGCATGTTGGCGAAGATGTGCTCGATGGGATGTGCGTAGATGGAAGTCACGCCGACGGGGGAGACCCACTCGTGGTGGATTTTGTGGATCCGACGGTAGAAAAATGGAGCGTGGAAAAGTCTGAAAATGTCATTAAGCTGGCGTTAACTATGATTAAATATGGTTACTAATCGTTATTAATCATTTAACAAATATATAAGTTGAGTGGGTATAACTTGACATCTCCATTTCGGCAGATTTTAAATAAGGAAGCATACCTTAATTTAATAAAATTACCAAATTTATCACCATACCTGAAAAATTCCAAAGTGAATTGAACAAAATGCATTAAAGCCGCTTGTGTGCTCAGTCAAGAAGCTCAACAAGCAAGTAAGAACAATCAATGCAGATTCAAGATATACATAAACAAAACATGCACACACAGATATCTCCTACCTATGACTGTAATAGAACATGATCTCCTCGACAATAGTGAAGACAACTAGCTCGGCAGCCACCCAGTGAAACGTTGGCAGCTCCCTACCAAAACTGCACCCCCTACAAATCATCACCTTGAACATGACGTACATGAAGGGTCCGCCCACCACAACTTGATTGAAAGCCACCTGCTTCACTGCTTTCATCAACTTACCGACATCAACCTGCCACGAGGGATTCATTCAACGAGGAGGTCGAAAATTTCAATATGAACTGCATCCATAATGCTGTTAACATCAACGAGCCAAAACTTGATATCATGAGTTAAATTTGCATTTGAAAATTTGCCTATCGTTTAGTTAGCTACATTAGTTCTTAAACAACAAATACTACAAATAAAAAACTCATAAACAGCAGATGAAAAATTTGAGTGAGCAGCACAAACTGCGCTGACAAATCCTACAGAGAACAAAAAATTCCTGAAATAGCAGTGCATTGAAAAAATGGGCTGAGGAATAAATTGTGAGAAAAACAACTGCAAAGGGTAAATTAATGAAAGATTTTAAATAGATTGAAATTTTGCTCTCCATGCTCCTCACAGGTTTATTTTTATCCTGTTGAATTTTGTACTTGAGTAGGAAGGATGGGTGGCCAGTGATGTCCAGGTAGGCAAAGAAGGAGTTGATGATGCAAAACACCCCATTCGCTACAAGGAACAAACCTGTTGGTTTATATTTGCACTTTTATCATATTTTAATCAAGAATATTGACGAAAAGAAGTTTAGTTATGGCCATGAAAACATGATAAATTATTACACTTTCAATTTTTTTTGTTATTGCAAAAATAAACATTTTAGGTGTGAACACAGTTTGAAACCTGTAAATCCGAGGAGCATATCATTTCCACCAAAGAAGTCATGTATGACCTCCCACTTGCTCTGCCAGTAACTCCCTGAGGCACCCCAAAACTGCTGCAAATACCTTTAAAAATTATTACAAAAATTAAATTGGGCAAGTTTACAGCAATGATCCAAAAGATGTTCAGCTCAGTTCAATGAACAAAGTTGTGTACCTACCTACATATTAAACAAAAAAGTTCCATTTAAAATTCTAATCAGCAAAAATACGATTGGACATGCTACAATACATGATGCATGCTTTTATAGCTAAATAAAAGCTATAAAAATAATGGCAAGTAAAAGCAAAAGTAAATTTTTTTAACAGGGGTAAAACTTTCATCAGCAGCAGAAAAATTTAACTTCTAAATAGAAGAAATAAAATTTAAAAAAATCACGGACTAAGAAATATTATATTCCTATTTAAAATTTCATAAAATGAAAACAAACCATTCGAATATATTTACTGTTAAAAAAAATTGTTGCAGAATACTTTGTAGTAAAAAATTTAAATTGTAATAATAATAACATAAATGCGCATATTACATAATTTCAGAAAACAATGAAATACTTTCACAATAGCATATGAACAATGCAATGCAGACAAGACCTATGAAGTACAACCTATAAATAAATAAATTCAACCATAGTCCCACCAATAACTTTCTGACAGTCATATGTAAAGAACTAATCGACTAAAAGTTATTATTTATCAACATGACAGAGTTCTAAAAAATTTTCTAGCTCTAGCATTAACTGATTAACAAAAACAACACCAGAAAAACAATGTGAAATTTTGCGGTAAATTGCTTAAATAAATTGAAGAATGGTTCAAAATTGGTAAAGTTAGAAAATGTTGCATAAAAAAGGAAGTGATAAGAAGAGGCAAGTTCGCTGACCATGTAACTGAATTCCTAGCAGCAATAAATACGACTAGGGCCGTCCCTATGACAAAAACACTCAATCTGATCAACTCCCATAGCTGCTTGATTTTCTCAAAAAGCGTTTTTTTAATTTGGACTTTATCAAGTTTCTCATTTTTTGTAGGATTTGTCGTCTCCGCCATCATCATGCTACCCTCTACTGATCAAATCTGAAAAGAAAGATTTTGAAATTTTTAAACGATTGCATTGTGATTTGTAAAGTCAGTCTGGTGACAATAAAATGGAAACAAAAGTTAAAGTAAAATATTTATTTAATTTTACTACATTTTGTTTTGATTAATTTATTTTTATTGTTATTCAATTATCTATTATAATTATATTATTAACACTTATGATTATGAATATGACTAGTAAATTACTATGTGTAGCTGTGTTAATTTATATTTTAAAAATTTTTATTGATGAAAACTTTTAAAATTTTAACTATAAATTAAAAAAACAAACATTAAAATTTATTTTACATTTACATTTTTACAACAAACAACAAATGAACAAAACAACAACAAACAATAAAAGTTTGAAAAGTTATTTTTTTCGAAATTCAATAAATAATTGAATAAGAATTGATTGTCAAACTAGCAATTTTTAACACAATTTAATATTTTAATTTATATAAAAATAATAATTAAAATCAAGTTAAATAATTATTAAATTATATCAACCATCAAATAAACAAAGACTGGCCTGTCTTACTGGATGAACAAATGAAGTTTTTTAGAGTCTATTGCTAGTTTCGTTATTTATTGATACAAAACAAAGTAGTGAAAGTACAAACTACAAACAAGTGAAGAATCATAACAATTCATGGGCACAGTGGCGAATGTTTACCACAACTTATGACTAGAAAATTATAAATCTAGGTTATTTTTATGAAGGATTTACCCGAAAAAGTGATAAAAATATAGATAAGAGCGTAACAATTATTAACCTTAGTAAACAAAAAACGTAGAATGAATTTTAGGTTATGTATTAATAGTTAATAATAACAATAACAATAAAAACAATTAAAATGATGAAAACAATAAAAATAAAAACGACCTCTTCACTGCTGATCTACTAAAAGTTGGTTTACAGTTTAAAACGTCCATCAAATAATGTTAACGCCTCTATTCACTTACCGATTATTCGATTATTAAACTTACTAATCTAGTTTTACCGAATTTTTTTATTAATTAATAATGTTAAAATTGAACACAATTTAATTTATTTTTAATGATTAATTTTATTTCAGACTTTAATAATATGGGAAAATTTTTTGTAAAAGTACCGAAAAAATTGTTATCGGTTTATTGTCGGTTACAAATTTAAAGTAATCCATCTCCAGTTTAAAAATTTTTCAACAAGTTCCGTAAAAACAAAAAACATGGCAACCAAGTCTGTAGCGGTGGCCAAATCTGATTTTCCCCTCTACTGCATTCAGATGATTGGGGACAGCCATTTTGTGGTGGCTGGGGGAGGGGGGTCTGCCCGTACGGGCGTTCCTAATGCAATGGTTGGTCAACTTTTAATGTTTTTTTAACATTTTTCACTTTTCAAGTTTTCATCATCTCGTATTGTCCTAAGTAAAGTAAATTAAATAAAAATATTTATTTTTAGCCATTCTATTGCTATTTATTAATTTGCTTCAGGATATATACGAGATTAAGTTTGAGAACAAAACCCTGTGCGTCAACAAAGTGAATCATTTTGAGACAAAGTCAAGAGCAGTGATGAATTGTGCTGTTGCCAGGCAGGACAAACAGTTTTATCTGGCAGCTGGACTTGACAACAGTTGCCAACTTCACACACTCAGATACAAAACCATGGTCCCCAAGAATGAAAATGAAGGTTTAAATTGGTTATTGAATACAAAATTTTAATGAATGTCATTTATGCTAGTTTTTTAAAATGTATTTATTTGCGACTTGAAGCTGTGCTGCTCTGCTATTACCAGTTAATAGTGTATGAAATGAACTAACTACATTTAAACTTATATTCATCTTTGTAATTATTTATTTAGATTTTTAGTTTAGACTTTTGAAATACTGGATACAAATAGATTGAACTAAATAATTTGGCATTGACTGATTTATACTAGGTAGAATTATTATTAGGATTATTTGAATTTTTCACCATATATTATAAATTTAAAACATGAAGTAAAAATATCACTTTATAATGACTAATAGACTAATGTTATGATAAAATTTAAAACAGTTTTAGAAGGAGTACGCAAGAGGAAGAACAACCTAACAAATTCAGCCAACCACAACACTGCAGTCAAGGTCATAGGATTTGATTTAGAGCCGGGAGATGAGATAATCACCGATCGTTCTAAGGATGGCTTCCAGAAAGTCGTTCGATTCACCCACGATATCAAATATTTGCTAACAGCTGGTGCTGATGGGTATTTAAGATGCTGGGAAGTTAGTGTTGTTACTCCATGTGCATCTTTTTTTTTATTTTATTTTATTTTATTTAAATTATATTTTTATTTATTTTATTCTATTTTACTTTTAAATCTTTTATGGAAATAATTTTTTACCTACCTTCTGTCTGACACAGTTTCCATCTTTGAAGTTATTCAGAGAAGTTCATTGCCACACAAATGAGATTGACGATATGGACTGCAGTTTTGACAACAAGCACGTTAGTCTGCCTCTTCTCAATTTGTATTTTTAAATTTATTGATCTGTCTATCCATTAATTAATCGATATATTTTGTTTTTGGATTTATTTTTTTATTTTATTTTTTACCATCTACTTATTTAATTACCTGTTTAGTCAATTAATAATGAAGATATTAATAATAATAATGATAATAATGTCAATTAATCACATACATTTATTTGCTGATAAATAATAGGTCGTGACGGTGTCGAAAGACAATACAACATGCCTGTGGTCTCTGAAGAGTGGTTCCAAGGAGTCGACATTACAGTGGAAAAGTGAATTTAATTCCACGCATCGAGTCAGAAATTGCAGGTTTCACTTTTTTCTTGTCTTGTATTTATTATTAAGTTTAACAATTAATTACTTAATTTGTAATTAGAGTAGTTTTTTTCTGCAAATTTTTTTACCAGTTTATAATTATTTTTTTTAATTAAAAATAACCTTCCACTCTAATACTAACTAAATATTAAAGGTTCGGCTTTATAAAGGACAAGTCAAATGCCTACAACCTCTACACAACACACATCCCGATAACTAGAAACAAAGGAAAAAATTCGTCGTGCTTCATCGTCAAGTGGGAGACGAACAACTTCACCCACGTTAAGCAGACATGCACTGGGAATGAAATATTATCAGCCATTGCAATCAGGTTTGGTTCTGTTTGTTGTTTGTTATTGTTGTGTGGATGTTAAAATGTGTGTGCGGATGTTAAAATGTGTGTGTGTGTGTGTGTGTGTGTGTGTGTGTGTGTGTGTGTGTGTGTGGTTGTTTTTGTTGTGTGGTGGTTGTGTGTCGCTGTATAAGTATGTTGTCTTGTAATTTGTGGTAGCTCATTATCTGATAACATTACAGCTTCAAAGCTTTCTTGAATGATTCATATTAATAAGCGTATTAATTAGTTAGTTAAAAGTTAATTAGCAATCATTTAAAAATTGTTTTCACTCATTTACTTTCGCATAAATTTTCAATTATTTTATTTTTTTAATTAAACCGACCAGTGAAGATGGCATATTCCTAGGAGTGGGTACTATATCTGGTAGTGTATCCGTGTACATATCGTTCAGTCTTCAAGTTTGTACATCTTTTTAGTCCATCTTTTCGTTTTTTATCTAATTGAATAATTAGTTAATTAATTAATTAAGTAAGTAAGTAGTTTTAATGGTTAGTTGTTTAGAGATTTATTATTCTTGTTTAACTGTTGATAATGTAAATTGCTTAATATTGTATCAGAATTGAGTTTATTGAAAAGTTGCTAAGAATGATAATTTATATTATATTATACTATATTATGTTATATTAAATTAAATTATATTATGTTATGTTCAATTGTTCAATGCAATGCTTGCTGATTTAAAAAAACCAAAAACTTACTGATCCAATGGCAGCGTTTGTACCATGTGGCATCTGCCCACAACATATTCGTAACTGGTCTCGAGTTTGCACCCCATGCAACCAGCAACAGGTCTGGCAGTGGTGTGGAAAATGAATTTACATTGTTCAGCATATCTGCAGACAATCACATCAAGCTGCACCAGCAGGCTTATGAATGTTGGATTTGTTTTTCTGATCTGTCTTCTTCATATTTTCCATTGTTTTAAATTCTCATATACACTTTTTTGCTTTATGTTCGTCTAGTTATTTGTCGTAAACTCAGCAGTCGATCGTTAATTCATCTATTCATTATTACATTCGTTTATTCATTCTTTTTTTCATTCACATTCCATCACTCTACCATCTCATTTGTCTGTGCAGTCATCATTTCATTCATCTATCCGTTCATTTAATCAGCCTATTTATAGATAAACTAAAATCTATCTATCGTTTCATCCATCTTTCCATTCATCCATTTTTCCATTCATTCATACAATTCATCCATCAATTCATCCATTAATTCATCCAACTATCCAGCATCCTACAGTGCCTGCTGGGTCTTCGTTGGTTTCTGCATCATCGTCCTCTTCATCCTCTGGACACTACGCTACCTACACGATGCCGGCTGGCATGTGTTATAATATTCATCATAATTTATGATAATTTATGCTAATTTTGTTTCAATTTATTCCTATGTTATCTTAACTATTTCAAATTTTGAATGGTTGTCGGCTTTAAATGGTTAATGATGTTTATTTGTTATCATAAATAATTTTTGTTAGCTGCTAATTTGTTCGTCTGTCTATCAAGATTTAATTAATCAATATTTAATTGCTATGTTAGTAAATGCAATTTAATTAACTTAATTGGACACTCATCATTCTCGTCCTCCGTGTACAACCAGACTTTCACCATTACATATTTCTCATCTATATTACATTACCCACTGTTTCATTTAGTCAATAATTTTCAAGACCATATGCTTGCGTGCGTAAGTGCGTGTATTGTTTGTTACATTTGTATTGTACTATATTCTTGATTGTGTGTCTCACATGAGTATGTGTGTGCGTGTGTATGTGAGTGAGTAAATGAGAGAGAGGAGAGAGAGAGAGAGAGAGAGAAGAATGAATAAATATTTCTTTTTTTCATTTTTATGCTTGATTGTACATTATACATTCCTCCATAAGTTGTGTGGAGAGGATTGACAATGTTATAGATGAAACATGTATATCTGTATATATATATATATATATATATATATATATATATATATATATATATATATATATATATATTATGGTTTTCCAGCATGTATAAATATATATATATATACATGCTTGGGACTATATATATATATATATATATATATATATATATATATATATATATATGTATATATATATTCAAATGCTTGAATGGTTTTGCTTTTTCTGTTTTTCTTTTTTTTTCTTCTTTTTCTGACTTACTTTTTCTGGCCCCAAAAAATCTTGTTACATGTTCAAGAAATTTTTCAGTTGTTGGGCCATCTGTATGGAATAGCCTGCCTTTGGAACTGCGTGCTTCGGGGCATTCAATTTTATCCTTCAGGAGGGAACTAAAAACGTTTCTCTTTCTTTGGTTGTTGTTTCCTTGTGATTTGTTTTAGCGCCTTTGAGATTTAATGAAAGGGCGCTATATAAATCTACCTAATAATAATAATAATATATATATATCTTATCTTATATATAAACATATATCCTATATATGTAATTGTACATATCTTTGATAGTAAATTTTAATGGTCCATTTCATATAGCTTATTCCATTTCCGAATTTAGTTTTGTTGACTGTTTTTTCTTTATTCATTCTTCCTTATTTTCGTCTACTCATTCGTCCATTTATTTATTCATTCATTCGTTAATTTATCCATTCATTTATTCATTTGATTCATTTAGTTCCGGTTAATAATAACTACCATCATCCCGCCCTCATTAGCATAGCATTTCAGTCGGTAAATAATAAAAATGTGAAATTTATTTGTTTAACGTCTCAAATATTTTTAATTAGTTTGAAATGGCTCGGCAAATTTTGAAAAAGTATAAAATTTACAGTGATTTTCAGTTAGCGAGTTTGTTAGTTCTATCATTCCAATCAATGTTTAACGCGATATATTCGAATGAGTAACATTTGGTTGAACGATAGATTTTATTTAAAGAGACAACGCTCCAAGTCCTACCTCGGGGAACTGGGTCTCTTGACGCTAAACGAAGATAGATAGATATAGATAATAATATGTTTTTAATGTGTAAGGAGCAAACGTTCGTCAGCGAAGACGCCATATTTCAGACTAGCAATCAGAAAAAATTGCGAAAATCATAATAAGAAGTGGGGATGAATAATAAAAACTTGAAAAATACGAGCAAAACTAGGAAGTAGAAACAGTTGGCATCAGCGGGACGAATCAAAAAAGCAAGCAGAACGACATGAACCAGCGGTAGCTAACCGCATAAAACATGTAATGTAGCAAGAAACAAGACAACAGCCGTAACAATAGCTGATAGATAACAATGTGTTTCCTTATGACTCAGATCATATTTCTACCTGGCTAACTTTTTTTTAATCCGAACTCATTTATTTCAATTTTGTCATAAAAGTTACAGTTTAATTAAAAAATAATTTTTAAATTATCTTCTTAGAGATAATACGCATACCATTATCAAGTTTACGCATACCATTATCACTTTATACGAGTAGGAATAAAATGATAGCTTCTATAGCTCTTGTCTTTATCCAAAGGCTCGCACGTCTTTGTCAAAATAAATCCACATTTGCGTACGCTTATACCATTCCTTCGACTATTTCCTTAGGCAGATGCCGAATTTCTAATTGATTTTATTTCTTCCTTTGCTTCATACATCGACATCGGCTTGACTGGATTTTCCCATAAATATTTCTTTATTGTTTTTTTTTATTAATAATTATTTGTAATAATAGGAGCAATAATAAAATAATAATAATAATAAATGTTACATGATTTATCTTATATAATTCCAATTTAACATAGCTTATATTGAATTTGCATTTTTCTGGTTTATTTATCAAAAATTATCGAAAAACAGAGGGAAATTTTTGTCAATAAATAATAACTTCAATCGTGTCTATGTGTAACGATTGTCTTCGAAATTTGTCACGTCATTCGTCTTATTGTAAACGCTATTATTATTTTCATCATTATTGTTACAGTTATTATTATCGTCGTTGTTGTTTTTGTTAGTCTTATTGTTATTGCTGTAGTTGTTGTTGTTTTTTTTGTTGTCGTCGTCGTTGTTGTTATTAATGTAGTTGTTGGTGCTGTTAGGAATTTTATTGTTATGCTATACGTTTTTATAATTTTGTTATTATTTTCAAATCTATTTTTTTTCTTTGGTTTGTTGAATTTTTGTTACACATATATATAAATATATATATATATATATATATATATATATATATATATATCTGTGTGTGTGTGTGTGTGTGTGTGTGTGTGTGTGTGTGTGTGTGTGTGTGTGTGTGTGTGTGTGTGTGTGTGTGTGTGTGATCCTGCACTTCTCATTCTCCGTCGCTTACGAAACACGGCAGAGCTATCTATCGTAGTGGCTCTTCACTGGCTTGAAATACACATAATGTGCTTAGTTAGAATACTTGGAAACACATTTAAATTGTGAGCCTGGTATGACTTAACCGTTGATCGTTTTCTCCAATAGAGATATTTTTCACTCTTAAAACATGAACATTTGCTAATTATGATTTGTAATTTGATGAGATTTTCATCTCTGTTACCAATGAAACTTTACAATGTAGAAGATTTAACCGGTCAATCAAATTTTTATCATAATTATATAAACAAAAGCCCACAATATCCATATTTATTTTCATACAGTGTCATAGTTTCCATAATTGGCTTGTCCAGCTGTTTTATTCTTACGTAGAATCCCTCCAACGATCCGTATCCTATCCCACCCCTTCCTATCCCGTACTATTCCCGATTGCCATTCCCAATCTCTCCCTGGTACCTCCATCTTTTGGTCATTCCGCCATTTTAAAATTTATTTTACGCAAGGAGACGGATTAATAATTAAGGTAGAAAATCTGCCGTTAAACTTAGTGCTTTTGCTTCCGTTTATAATAATAATAATAATAATAATAATAATAATAATAATAATAATAATAATAATATCATAAATATAAAACTATAAATAGTAACAACAATAACATTATTAATAATAACAACAATAATAATCTAAATAATACTAATAAAAAAAGTAGGCGATTATGGTGATAGTGTCGAAAGAATACGCTGCTATTGTCGTTCCATTTAAATGCTGCTCTCAATACCTCTTCTCTTTATATATATATATATATATATATATATAGAGAGAGAGAGAGAGAGAGAGAGAGACATATGTGTGTGTGTATGTGTGTAAATATTTCGGTACATTTACAAATATTAGTAATATACTGTCGTTACATTATGAACGAATGGCTATGACAGTGAGTGTGATGTTATATTAGAATTGTCATGCTGTGTAAAGGAATTATAAGATTGATATTATCTTCAAGTCTATTTGATTTTTAAAGTAATTAAAAATACTTATACAGTTAATTAATTAATTAAATTTATTTATTTATTTATTTGTAATTAAGTTAACCTACGTTAGGTAGAATATATTACGCTTCATAGGCAGATGTTTCACGCATTGTAAAATTTAGTTAGAGTAGTAGATCATTAGGCCATTTATGAATTAAGACAAATGTTTTTCCACTAGTGAATAAATATTAAATAATAATAATAGTAACATAATTAGATATATTAAATAATAATTAAAATACAAATTTGAAATCTGCATTTTGATTGGTGGATATGAAAGTTGAACTGTCCAATGAGAGGCTGGGTGATGGGAACGAAGATATGATGATCAACTATGAGGATATGATACATATGCCGTAAGTCACGTGATGATGACGATGATAATGATGATGATAATGATGATGACCATGGTAAGGATGATAATAATAATGATTTTATTGATTCTGACACATTTATTATAATGATTTTTAATTTTTAGCGTTCTTGCAACAATCAATCAGTAAATTAGTTTATAAAGCGCTATTTCCGCGATGTTCAACAGCGCCCTTCAATGAATTTTGAAAACAGATGGGTCTTGAGATCTGCTCTGAACTTCGTAAGTGATGGAGAAGTAGTCAGAGAAGAAGGTAGAGAGTTCCAGAGAGAAGGGTCAAAAAAAGCAAATGCAGATTTAGCAAAAGAGTGTTTAACACGAGTTAAGAAGAAGTGGGAACAAGAAGACGATCGTAAACCGGGGCGTTTAGGTTCAATTAACATATCTGATAAGTAATTAGGAAATAATTTCGATTGAGACCTATACATAAATGTACAAATTTTAAAAATTATTCTATATTTTATAGGTAGCCAGTGCAAGAAAACAAGAAATGGAGATATATGAGAAAAGAAAGGGGCACGAGCAACTAGACGAGCAGTTGTGTTAAAAGCTATACTTAAAAGATAGAGTGTAGAATCAGGAAGACCATAGTGGAGCGAGTTACAATAATCCATCCTAGATAAGAGACCAACGAAGTTACAAGAAGGAGAAGAGTAGGATCGTCAAGAAAAGGCAAAAAGTTTACTATTCTACGTAGATGAAAGTAAAAACTTCTAGCAACACTATTAATCCGAGAAGAAAGAGACGTGCCAGAATCAAAGATAAAGCCTAGACTACGAAACTTATGAGAGACATCAAGAGTTTTAGAATCAGGTAAGATAATAGATGGAATAGTAATAGAGCGTTTTAATTTTTTAAAACAAATTAATTAAAATTTAGAAGGATTAAGTTTAAGACACCAAGAGTTAGACCAAGCAATAATTGAAGGACAAATTAGGAAATTTTTCCTCACATTTTAGTTAAAAATCGTTTTCTACAAAGCTTACCATCATCAACATATATTTTGCGAAATTTTCAATATTTAAACCAGAAACATCACTTTAAGACATTACTAATTAAACAAATAGATAAATATAAATAAAATAATAAAATTTTAAATAAATAAAAGACGTGGAAACGAAACTTTTTTTATTTTTGACAGTCGCCTGGATGAACAGTGCATGGTAGAAAACCTACGTGCTAGATATAAGGGTTACATGATCTATGTTAGTTCATTTTTTTTCCATAAATTATTTCATCATTTTTACAGAACCAATAAAGTTAACTAGATATTACAAAATATACGTAGTAAAATATTAAAGAAATATTATGAAATAACAAAAATATTAATAAAATACTATAGCATTTAATGTAGTATAAGGCAAGGTTCCACTGAATTTATAAATGGGTGATGGGTTAGATAAAAAATGAAAGGAAATTAAGATAGAAGTGTGTGTGTGTGTGTGCGTGTGCGTGTGTGTGTGTGTGTGTGTGTGTGTGTGTGTGTGGTGTGTACGTGTGATAATAAAAGCAGTCAGTCACTAAATTAATTTGTATGAATGTATGTGATTGTAATTTTACGAAATAGAATAACCATTAATAATATTAACAGGCAGCATAACAAATGAATGTAAAATATACATTACTAATATGAAATATTGAAAAATACATTGAGTTTTCTTATCTTTTACACGTATATATTCATTTTAAATCGGTAGAAATCTTTATTTTCCTATACGTAAATTCATAAAAAAAAGATGTTTCTTACACCCAAACAAACAGACATACATCGGAAACATATTGATAGCAGTCAACCCGTACAAGATGATAGACATCTACGGCTTGGACGTTGTGGAGAAATACGAAGGAGCATTGTTTGGATCGCAACCTCCGTTCGTTATTTATTTAATTAACTTATTTATTTTTAATTAATTAATTTATTTATTTATTTATTCATTCGTTCGTTCGTACGTTCGTTTATTTATTCATTCATTTACTCAGCACCTACTTCCGAGTGCTTGGCGTGTTTATACAAACGCCTCTCATAAATATTTGTCACTCTCTCATTTATTTACTTAATAGTTCATTCATTCATTCATTTAGGTATCTTTGTAGATAGGTATCGTTGTATCTAGGTATCCTTGTATATTGGTATCTTTGTTTATAGGTATCTTTGTATATAGATATCTTTGTTTATAGGTATCTTTGTTTATAGGTATCTTTGTTTATAGGTACCTTTGTATAATGATATCTTGGATAGAGGTATTTTTGTATGCCGGTACTAAATGTACGAGAAAGTATTTTTGAAATGGTGTTGCGTGCTATTGTGAAGATGTTCTTGTTGTAAGTTTTACACTCATCGCCTGCTCAGTTTTACACCCCATACAATTTACGGAAACTATGAATAGATTGTTTTTTCTTATTATGGCTGTTGTTGTAATTATTGTTGTTGTCGTTATTCTTATTATTATTGTTGTTGTTATCAGGTCCGTTATATATTAAGAATTATTTCGATTTATTAATGTCGTTATTGTTTCTTTCATTTTAATTCTCCTTATGATATTGTATTTTTTTCTTTTATTTCTTTTTTTATTGTTCTTATTATTCAAGAAAGTTCTCATCGTCACTTTTGTCGGTTTAATTTAACTTTAATTTCTCATAATCTGTTTAATAACTCAATCAAAAAATACTATAAATTGTTTTACAAAATTGTTTATCCAATCAAACAATTAATCAACCAACCAACCAATTATTCAACTGACCAGCCAAACAATCAATCAATCCAACAAACCAATCAATCAACCACATTCACACGGAACCTACCAGACACTTGTTTGCGATTGGCAATGCATCGTTCAACAGTTTAAAAGATACCAACGAAGACCAAGTTGTTATAATAAGGTTTGGTGTTAAATGTTTGCTTTGCTGCAACTGCTACTGTAGTCGCTACTGCTACTGCTACTGTTGTCTGCTGTTGTGTTGTTGTTGCTATTGGTTTTGATATTATTGTTATGACTATTTTTCGTAGTTTATTATTTCTTGTGACGTATTTCGAAACTTGTAAATTGTGTAAACATAAGAAACTCCGAGCCATAATTATGCAAAAATGTAAACACAAAATAACTCTGACGACAACAACAACAACGACAACAACAACAAATTACGACAACAACGACAACGACAAACCACAGTGGTGAAAGTGGAGCCGGAAAGACGGAGAGCACGAAGTTACTGATGCACTATCTGGCGATGACGTCAACGTCAGCAACAACTTCCCTATCTCCATCAACCAATCAGAATCGATCGAGTCACGTGACGGAGAAAATTATCGAAGCGTCGCCATTGTTGGAGTCGTTTGGGAACGCGAAAACCATAAGAAACGATAACTCCAGTCGGTTTGGGAAGTACGTCGAACTCTTCTTCCAAGGGTAGCCATTCTCATTTTTTCTTTTTATTATTATTATTACTCTTTTTTATTTATTTTTATTACAATTATTTTAGGAATAATTGTTGATTTTTAAAAATAGTTAATCGTTTTTTAAGCCAATCGTTAAATCATAAATCGTCATTTCATCACTGATCAAATTATTCACATTCCTTATAATTATTGTCATTTTTTTTGTAATTCATTGCTAAATTACTTTTTTTAAAATTACCTTTAAAATTAATTATTTCATAAATTATTTTACACTAACCACCAACCAACCGACTTTCAGAGGCGGGCTGGTTGGCGCACAGACGACAGAGTATTTGCTAGAAAGATCGAGAATCGTCAAGCAGGTCGGATGTTCATTTTTACTGATGAAAAATAATTCTAAAGTACCAAAATAACGTAAAATTTTTTAACTCCACACACACACACGCACGCACGCACGCACACACACACACACATGTACAACATACATTATTTAGTTGAATTATTCATCTTCCTTCTATAAAAATAAATACCATCCAGTATTTATATCTAATTAACTGCAGTACCAAGAAACAAACTTAAAAATGCAAAATCTGAAAAATAGTATAAAAATTCAAAAATAAATTCCTCAGTTGCCAGGCGAGCGTAACTACCACATATTCTACGAGATGATGAAGGGACTGGCGGACGACAGGAAGGCTTGTCTTCATCTTTCAAGTGTTGATGAGTTCTCTTACCTCAACAGGGTTAGTTTTTTGGAGTATGTTGGAGTATGTATGTGTATGTGTGTGCGTGTGTGCGTGTATGTGTGTTCGGGCGTGTGTGTGAGTGTGTGTTGTGTTGTTTTATGAGATCTAATATATTATTTTAATTTTGGCTTTGCGACAAAAGTTTTGAATGCAAATATTTACAGTAATTCATAAATCGTTATCACATCCACCATTATCATCATCATCGTTATCACGTTCACCGTTATCATTATTATCATTATCATAACAAGGGTGAGGCCAGTAATCTGGAGTCACGTGACGACGCTGAGAACTTCCGGTCAGTTGAGATGGCCTTCAGCATGCATCAGTTCGCCAAGGAGGAAAAAGATTCCATCTTCAAGATACTCGCCTCCATTCTTCACCTCGGAAACATCAACTTCAAAAAAGCGGAAGTCGGTTGTGATGACGTAGTATTAAACATTATTATATTGCGCTAAACTTTTTTCATAAATTGAATTCACAAAAATGTGAATACCAATCAAAATAAATTAGCAAGCAAACAAATAAAAACAAACGGACAAAAACAGCAGCAAAAGTAAACAAATCGACAACAACAACAAAACATACCAACAACAGCAAAACATACAAACAACAACAAAACATATCAACAACAGCAAAACATACAAACAACAACAACAACAAAACATACCAACAACAGCAAAACATACAAATAACAACAACAACAAAACATGCCAACAACAGCAAAACATACAAATAATAACAACAACAGCAAAACATACAAACAACAACAACCACCCACTCACAGAACGTTCATCGCATGGACGGCGTTAAAATGGAATCCGACGCATCTAGCAGGATCGTGTGTCTGTTGCTTCAACTGGATAGGGAGGGCCTGGATAAGGTCCTTACCACAAGAGTCACGGTGAGTTCTGTTTGTTGATGACTCAATTGTTAATGTCACTGATGTTATTTGACTCATTTTCTGCTGGCATCCTTGATTATATGGCCGCACGTAAAATTCTAAACTAACAGTCTATCTATCTTTTTTCATTATCGTCTTTGAATTTCATTTCTTTGTAAGTTTTTCGTTGATTCATCGGCATTTTATTATTTCGCTTTTTCAATTTTTGCGTTCGTTTTGAAGTGAATAATTTCGCTTTATTAAAATTTAAAAAAAAACATTTTTTCGTATAATTTTAAATTCATTAATTTTTAATTTAACCCACAAAAGCTGGCAAGAAATGAGAAACTAGTAACACCCCTAACTGAAGAACAAGCGTTAGACGTAAGGTGAGTCACGTGATGTGAAGTGGTGACGCGATGACGATGATGACGTCATATTTCGTTGCATGTAGCAAAAGTCATGTGATTGTTTGTGGCACTTACTTAATGTGCGGTTTAATATGTAATGTGATATGAGTAATGTATATACGTGCAACATAAACACAGGCCCACACACACACACACACACACACACACACACACAAACACACACAAACACACACCAAACAACCAAACAAACGTGCACAGAGATAGTATATCAAAAGCTTTGTACCATCACCTCTTCAAGTGGCTGGTTGAGAAGATCAACCGGAATATGAAATGCTGCCTCGAGAAGAGAGAGGCCATCAACTCTATCGCCATCCTCGACATTTTCGGTTTTGAAGTTTGTGATGATTGGCCGTTTTTGATGATGATGATAGTGGTGGTGGTGGTGGGGATGGTGACATCATAAGCAGTGGAAGTGATGATAACGATCGCTGTAGCTGTAACGGTGATTATAATTGCACTGGCGTACAAGAATGCATAAACACACATACACACAACAAACAAACACACACACACAACAAACAAACAAACACACACATACACACACACAACAAACAAACACACACATACACAAACAAACAAACACACAAACACGCACGCAGGATCTACGGCACAACAGCTTCGAGCAGCTATGCATCAACTACGCCAATGAAGCCCTGCAGCACCACTTCATCGCCCACATCTTCCGGATCGAGCAGGATGAGTACAGCAGGGAGGGCGTCCAGTGGTGCAACATCGAATTCCTCGATAACATCCAGGTCGTCGACCTCATCGGCAAGAAACCAAGTGGAATCTTTTGTCTACTAGATGAAGAGAGCAACTTTCCTAATGTGAGTTGTACGGCTGGCTGGCTGGCTGGTTGTTGGCCGGTTGGTCGGTCGGTTATTTGGTTGGTCGGTCTGGTGATTTCTAAGTGGTTTCGGTCTTGATTGTTGAACAAGTTGGTAGGTCAGAAAATTATGGAAGCCAGTTAATAACTTTGAATATTTTATTTTCACGATTATTAACATTTCTGACTCCGACGCTCTGGTTAACATTCACCAAACAAACTCAATGAACGCCACAACACACCACACCACACAGGGAACAGATCAATCGTTCCTGGAAAAGTGCCACCACCGCCACAACAGCCACATGTCGTACGTGAAGCCGAGAATGAGAGAGCCGTCCTTTTCCATCAATCATTATGCTGGCACCGTTACTTACAATGTAAGTTTTGACGTATTGTGATGTAATTAGTGTTACATCTTTACATGTAATGTAATATACATGTAGTCTACAGGTAATGATGTAATTGATGTAACGTCTTTATGTGTTAATGAAGCGTTGATAAATTGTGATGTAATCAATGTAACGTTACTACGTGTAATGAAATTAAATAATAAAATGATTAGGGCTAAAATAATGATGATGATGATGATGATGATGAATTTATTGACGATATTCTGAACATTCTGTGTGATGAAATTGGTAACAAATATAATAAAATCCTAGCTCCTGGTCTAACATAGTCCATTGTGATTTTGAAATATTTTTCTGCCTTTGTTTGAAAAAGTTATTCAAACTTAAACAATGATATACAGGACTTCTTCAGCTTATTACTTAGTTACTGAATAGTATTCTCATTCATATGACTCAATACGTCCGCTAGTAAACTACAGCTGCGTATATTACTAACTAAAATACTACCACAATACCAGCTATAAACTACAACACTAAATAACTACTGCATTACTAAATGCATTACTAACTTCTTGTACGTCAATCGTTTGGGCCCACAACAAAACAATGAACACTTATCTACATGTAAGATCCATAACACGAGCTGACAATAAGTTATAAAGATAGCAATGTAATGTTAGCAAGGTAATGTTAGCAATGTACGTTAGTAATGTAACGTTAACAATAACATTAAATTTAAAACGACAAATTCAAAATGATAGATTCAATATAATGTCCAATATTATTCTCTCTGATACACATACGTATGAATATTGAAATTGAATGTTAACCATAGATCATAAGTATCATACATTTATAAAAATCGACACTTAAAAAGAGAAGAACTTTGTTCTAAAGTAATCAATAGATATGATGTTTGTGTCTTTGTATGCGTGATTGTTGTGTCTTATTACGCGTGCGTGAGCGTATGTGTGTAGGTGTGTGTGTGCATGTTTGTGTGCGTGTGGGTATGTGTGTGTGTTCGTTCGGATTGTCCTAAACTGGCCACTGACCAAGAAAGAAGAAGACGGCATTTCGTTTTCAACGTTGACTTTTTTTTGTTTAACCTTAGAGAAGGCTTTTTAAGAAACTTATGTTTATAAAGAACGCTATATAAATCAACATCTCAGGTTGCCGAATTCCTCAACAAAAACCGCGACACCCTCAAATACGAAGTGTTGAACCTTGTCTCAAGGAGCAGCAACGCATTCGTCGCCAACATGTTTTTAGACGTTCTCAACATGGATGGTGGCGAGAAGAGAACGGCCACCACAACGATGATAAAGGCGGCCACTAACGTCAGCAGCAACAAGTCGACTAAGGCGGTCAGCGTGTCCGCAATGTTTAATGAGTCTCTCAGGTCTCTGGTTGAAACCATGACTAAGTAGGTGTCCGTGTGTTTGTGTGTCTCTACTTGCGACAATAAATGCAATGTTTGATATGTTGTCTCGGCTAGTCTAGTTTACATCTATCACGTTGATTTTTTTAGTTGAAAATATTTTGTTTTTGACACAATCATTTTATGATACCAACGTTACATAAAAACAAACGTAGAATGATAAATAAATAAACACATAACTGAACATGAATAAGAATAAAAAACTGAATATAACAAAAAGTAACATCCACCCACACACACACACACACACACACACACACACAAACACACACAGATGCAACCCATGGTTCATAAGATGCATCAAGCCCAACACCGACAAGACAGCCATGCAGTTTGTCGACGAAGTTGTCATGGATCAGTTGAAGGCAACTGGCATGCTGGAAACTGTTAAGATTCGCAAACTGGGATTCCCTGTCAGACAGAACTTTGCGTTGTTCTGTAAAAGGTAGGAGTGTCGTAAATGTAAACATATGGTGATGATATCCTAATTGCAATGATGATGACGCTGGTGATGAATGTTATAGGATTGTTATAGAATTGCGATGACGTTTTCAATGTAATCTAAACAAAATTATGGTAGTAATTATAATGATGATGTCCTTAATGATGGATTTTTTTAGGATTATTAATGGATATCGGTAAAGTTTTTCATATAATCTCATGCGAAAAAAACGAATCAATCCCAAAAAAAGTATTAGCCATAAGTTAATTAGTTTCCATTAGCCGAATCCTAACATAAAGTCATAAAATAAATTTTTAGCAACAACGCAAAAACAAAATATGACGTCATCTTCAGGTTCAAATGCCTACTGCCCCTAAAAAACACCGACCTTCTTAAAAACCTTGACCTCCACGGCAAACAGGCCTGCACGCTAATACTGCAGTCTCTCAACAACCAATGGGATCAGAGCTGGCAAGTTGGAAATTCCAAGGTGGCTATTTTTAGATTAGACGTATTTAAAAATAAATTAATTAATTAAAATAAAAATGACGTCTATTGACGCCATTGTAGATGTTGACGTCATCAGCATAGCGATTTTAAGATAGCATACATCGTTAGAATCACATCCGGCATAATCATCATTTAGAACGAACATCTTCCTCATCATTTTACAACAATCATAACCATCACTACCTTAATTTCCATCACCAAACAAAGGTCTTCATGAAGGAGAACCTGTTAGAACACCTCTCAATGGAAGTGAAAGGGAAACTTGGGGGTGCCGTACTGGCCCTGCAAAAATATTTCAAGGGTTTGTTGGCCCGCAAGAGGTACCAGAACAATTTGAAGGGGGTCCTTAAGTTTCAAGCTTTCTATAGAGCTTGGAATGCTAGGTCGGTTTGATTGATTGGTTGATTAGTTGATCGATCGATCGATCGATCGATCGATCGATCGATCGATCGACTGACTGACTGACTGACTGACTGACTGACTGACTGACTGACTGACTGACTGACTGACTGACTGACTGACTGACTGACTGACTGACTGACTGACTGACTGACTGACTGACTGACTGACTGACTGACTGACTGACTGACTGACTGACTGACTGATCGATCGATCGATCGATCGATCGATCGATCGATCGATCGATTGATTGATTAGGGTTCGAGCTAGTAAACGTTTCATTAAATGATTGAATGAATTGCTGGCTGGTTGACTGGCTGGTTGATTAGATTGAATGTTTAAAAAACGAGCTGAATGATTGATATGTTAAAAAAACATGATTAGCTCTGTGGATGAGTTAATTCATTTAAATTCATAAAAATTCTTAATTTAGAAATTATTTTTTGGCCGACCTCATAGAAAGCAGTACAAGGAATTATTGAAGAGATATACAACAGCCCAAGCCTATGTTAGAGGTTTCCTGGCTCGGAAAAGTTACAAGACGGTTGGTGAAATAATAGTTTGACGAAGGATTCTGCTCTTTTTAATAATAAATTAAAAATTATATATTTTATTATGAATATTATCAAATACTGATGATGATTGCTGGTTTTTTATACAGTCTTTCATACTTCTCATATTTCATTACTAAAACAACAGCACACACACACACACACACACACACACACACACACACACACACACACACATATATATATATATATATATATATATTTATGTATATACAAAGGGAATTTAACAAATTTTTTTAGCAGGTAATTACACTATTTGTCTGTAATGTGTATTGTCTAGGTATGGGTGCAGGTGTAAATTTGTATGAATGTGTGTGTGTTTGTGTGCGTGTCAGCGTGTGTGTGTGTGTGTGTGAGCATGTGTGTGTATCTACGTATTGTTTTCGTAAGTTTAGAGATTTACACCTAAGTGCATTTATTTGGCTGTCTGGTTTGTATGTCTTTTTTGTTTGCTAAGTGTTTGTATAATTTTTGTGTGACATTTTATACATGTTTATGTACGTTTACCTTTGTTTACATGCTTATTTTTTGTTTCATTGTTCGAAAATCAATGTTTGATACTGCTGCTTACCTTATTTATTCATGTTAAGTTGAAATAAATAATAATTTTAAAAGTCTAACTAATGTAGGATATACCGATCGGTGAATATTGTCTTTCGTTTATATCTGTTTGTCTGTTAATAGATCTGTTTGTATGTTTAAGTAATAGTATATTTTATGACTCAATCAATCAGCATTCAACCAAAAAACCAAGCAATTACCAATCAAGCAGCAACCAATCAACCAGACAACCAGCCAATCCACCAACCAGCCAAATAATCAATCATTCAGTCAAAAAACCAAAATGAAAGAAGCAAACGACAATACGAGGAAGAGCACCGGAAGAAGATGGAGCAAGAGAAGAAGGCGCGGAAGTCGAGGATTATCGAAGACATCAAAATCAATAAACGCCTGTCACCCGTTCCCTTTAAGGTCAACATGAAATCGTTTTATTTATTTATTTTTTTAATTTATAAAATTTATTTATTTCATAAAATTTATTTATTTTATAAAATGCTTTTATTCTTAAGCGTTTATAGCCATACGCATCTTATTTATTGTTATTTTAAAACATATATGTTAACGTTGTATATTTATTTTACGTTTACACGGCTGTTTCGCACATCCAAATTTCATTAGCTTTGAAGCATGGCCATTAAAATATAACTGCAGCATGAAACAGAAGGGAGCGATAAAAGGAGAACTACTTGAGAATAGAATTTAAACAATGGCCATGCAAACATCTTCGGAACGGAACTTTCTTAATCAAAAGGACAAATTTTACAAATTTTTTTCTCTTGCGTGCAACCGCCATACTATTACAAAAATGGGCTGAAGTTATTAGAGTGCAAACATAGATAGGTAGGCAGGTAGGTAGGTAGGTAGGTTGGTAGGTAGGTAGGTCCATAAAATTTGAAAAATCGGTTACTAATTCTTACATCGTATTATAGCATTTGTTTCAACATTAAGCAGTGACGAATCTTGAGGCGTTTAAAGTGAACGTCTAAGTGGATGTCAAATACTGTCTGTCTGAAACTTAAAAACCATCATACGCGTATGTGTATGTGCGTCATGTGGTGTGGATAGTACAGCCTTTGTGGCACGATGGTTCAATTATGATTACAGATACAGACTAACATGTAAGTAGCTCTGCGTTTCACAGAGCTGCATTATATAGAATTAAAAAATGTCAAACTACCAAACCGAAAACTAAAATGTTGATATAACGGAGTTTTAAACTAATATCAATTAATGAAAAAAGAACATGCAAGAGAACGTCGTCGTCGTCAATTTTCTGGAATCAACCCTTACTGAAAAATTCTGGATTCGCCACTGCATGTGTGTCTGTACAACACATAATATAATTAACACATGAGTTAAAACATGTGCACAATAAAACATATGTTTTGTATGATAAAAAGTTTCTTCTATCCATCCATCGATCGGTATATAATTTATTCGCAAACTGACATTTCGTATCTCGATCAATTTTTCCTAATCGATAACATCTTTATATGTTTGTATATATATATATATATATATAATATATGTGTATGTATATATATATATATATATATATATATATATATATATATAGAGAGAGAGAGAGAGAGAGAGAGAGAGGTCTTAGATGATGGGGGCGAGTGTATTCTCATCATCACAACACGTGTTTCAAAGCGGAATTGTATAGCATACGTGCGTTGTTAATGATTTATTGCTTTACTACATGTTTCATAGAATTATTTACAAAAATACTGTTAAATATTGTTTCGGTCTGTGTGATATGTATCATCATAGGATAAATGAAGCATTGATATGTATCATACATATCATATGCGTTCTATATATCATATAAGTATCATCTACACTACGCATAACATGTCCAATTGTAATTTAACGACTTAAGTTCACATTTAAACAAAAATTGTTTAGTAACCGTGACAACCAAACATGTAATGCAGTGCACACACATGTTCATGTTTTTTCGATGTATATTTTTTCTTTTAAAAACCATTTAAGATAATTAAAAAATATTTATTAAAATATATTTATTTATTTTATATATATTATATATAATATAGTAATTAATATCTGCTTGAACAACAACATATCGTCTTAAAATTCAATAAGGTGTAAAAAGTAAAAATAAAAAAAAGTAAAAAAACTGACTATTTTGTTTTCAGTTTTAGAACTTATCTAATCGAAGTTAAAATAAATAAAATTATTATACAAATGAAAAAAATTGTTTAAAAAGTTCATTAAAATCAAAATGGTCGTTTTTATTTTTGTTAAAAAAAGGATTAAACAAAACCTATTAAAATTTAAAGTTTAAAATTTTAAATTATGTATTCATTTAATAATAAATTCCTTTTATTGTTTATTTTTATTTAATTTAAATTAAAAAGATTGTATTATTAATAACAATGAATAAATTAAAAATACGCCAATCAATGATAATGTGGAAGATAATAAAATGAATGTAGGACCAAAACAGCAAAATAAAATATTTTCACTAAGAAGTATTCCTAACATAGGAAACAGAACTTCCGTTTTTCTCTTTTATAAAAACCAGGTAGAGGCTTGCTTGTTAAATATTTTTCAAGTTTTATTTATTATAACAATTTTTGCTATGTATGCTTAATTGCATTTAAATATTATTTATTGTATTTAACTATCATTATATATTAATCAATTAGCCTAAATTTAAAAGAAAAGCATTTAAAAGAGGTTGAATATGTGAGAAATTTGTTGATAATAACTACTTTTTAAACTTGTTTTTAATTTAACAAGCAAGATAATTATTATTAGCTTGTGAGTTTTATTATTGCAAGATTATGATTACTCTAATTGTTTTTTAGTATTATCATAATTTAATATATATATTAATCATTAAACATTACAATTATTATATATATAAATATATATATATAAGCATAATTTTGTTAAATTTTCAGGGAAAACACCAAAAAATCAATATAAATGGCATCGAAATTCCAGCCAAGTTAGCTCAAGCCATTTACAAGCCAGAAGGTACATACTAATAGATGCATATAATAGAAATAACTAAATAAATTTTTTTTTAAATAAATGAGATTACTCCATTATTATTATATTTTAATTCATTTATTTAGCAACTTTAACTAATTTGAATCAAATTTGGATTGCTATATTTTATATTAAAAATTGAAAAGTTTTAAATGAATGAAATGTTTTGAAATTATAATGACAAAAAAAAATTATTTTATAAACTCTGACGTTTCAGGCCTAACGCAATTCATATCAACCAATTACTTTAAAGACGTGGCAAACCTCCAACAACCACAACTCCAACTCTTGCAACAATCCGGTCAACAACAACAACAACCACAATTTAAGAAACAACTACAACTACCAGATGACATTGATTCATTTGTGCTTGCAAAATATGCGGACGTGTACTGCAAGGTTTCTTCAGCAATAATAACTTTTTCACATTATTTCCAATTTTTCAAAATATATACATGAAGGATGTTTATATTGCGTTTTGAATTTTTGATTTATTTTATTATTATCTAACAGTTTTTTTTGTTTTTATAGATATAAATCCGCCGATTAATTCTAATAAATATTTGTCCAATTAAGTATTTCAATATTTATTTGAGGATGAAATCGTTCACACATTCCTGTGGTTTGAAATAAATCATCAATCAGTCATCACCACCTTACAACAATAAGCTCTTATAGATTCTATGCAAATATTTTAATAAACTCCAGATTGACACGTATAAATTAATATATGCAAACATAGATTCCAATCATACAATCACACATATCACCAATTATTCAACCAGTCAAATGTACAACACGTACAATCAGCTTGTATACAAAAGTACACTCAAACATACTTTAATTTTGTACACAAACACGCATACAAAAATGTGAGTTTATGTTCACATATGTTTGCGAAGCGTCAGGTGTGAACTACGTTGTACAGTGCACTGCATAAACACATCGCTTACCATAGGCAGACGTAGAAACACATGTGCGTTCATGTGCTTACTTATATGTACTACACATACATGCACACTTATACATGCGCAAAAAACGAATACATAAAATCATACATATGAAAATAAGCATACACTTATTCACGCTCACTCATGTAAAAAAAAACTAATTTAATTCTTTATTCTATTTGTTTTAATCTAATCTAATGTAATAGAGATGATACACACACATACACACGCGCGCGTTCACGCACGCACACACTTGAAAATATCAATTTGAAAAATTTGTACGCTCACACACGCACACCTACGTAAAAACACGCACACGTTGTTAGCGTAACCCATCCTTCCCACCAGGAAACATTACCAATCGTGTTCAGATCCTTCCAGGAAACTCCCATCCTTGCAAAGAACACCGACAAAAAGATTACAGAATCAATCGACCTTTCAAAACTGGTATGTATGCGTATGTTTGTAAATTTGTATTATGCAATGTGTGTGTGTGAGCATGTATGTGAGTATGTATGTGTGTGTGAGTGAGTGAGTGAGTGAGTGAGTGAGTGAGTGAGTGAGTGAGTGAGTGAGTGAGTGAGTGAGTGAGTGAGTGAGTGAGTGAGTGTGTGTGGGATCATTTTAAAGTTTCGTTTGAGATCGTGCATGTATGTTGTTTATGACTAAATACTTTCACGGTATATGTTTTAGTTATTTGGTGTGCAATTGTGCATACACACGCGTATCGCCGGTATGTTATTTACACTGTTTCATGTATGTGTGTATGCATGTGCATGTGCTTCTTCGGAGCATTGTTTGTTTTTTTGTTAGTTCCATCGACTTGTATGCACCTGAACAGTTGTGCAATCATCGGCATCGACAAACATTGCCTATCTAATGTTTCCACAAACCCAGATAACGACAAATTTTAATTAAATGTAAACAGATCCTTAAAAACCCTTTGCACGCACACACACAAACAAACGCACACATCCACACAAACAAACACATTCACACAAACAAACAAACACATACATTCAAACAAACAAACACACATACAACTTCCACAGATTCTACGCTTTTTGCATAGCCACCGAGACCCAGAACTAAACGATCGACTGACCGTTCACTACATCGTATCCAGATGCCTCAGGAAGAACTATCTGAAAGACGAAGTACTCTTGCAGATTTGTAACAAAACATTTCTTGAGAAGGATGAGGTGGTTCTTGAAAGAGCCTGGCTGCTCATCACTTGCTGTCTGGCTTCATTCAAACCTTCCAATGTCCTCACTAATTATATTCTCAAGTGAGTAAATCTGGCGAAGCGATGGCGTAATGGTTGAGATGCCTGGCAGTGATGTTGCGGTCATTAGGTTTGAATGCGAGAGATCTCTTCGCCTATCACACGCCACATGTGTATGTGTGGTGCAATGATTCACGTGTGTGCCTTAGATGCTGACGCCTCTGAGAATACTAAATAAATTTTGTAAAAAAAATTATTTTCTCTTCTTTAAAACATGTCCTCGTTATGTTATCACGAGTCTTTGGGTGAAAGTTGTGAACTTCAATTGAATTTCTAAAAAATCACTTATCAATAAATAAACGAGCAGTTAACCAGTCGTGTTTCATACCGTATGCAATCCATTTTTAGATACGCTTCGGACTGGTGCATTCCAGGACTGGCACCCATTTGCCAGAAAAATATTTTAAGGGGCCAGATGGTAGACACTAACGTGGGCAGGGGCCATCCGCCCACGTACCTTGAGTTTCATGCTATCAAACAAAAATCACTGATGGCTCTTACTGGAGTCTTCCACGATGGTTGGTGGAATTTTTGTTTCGTTAGAATAAATTTTAAGGTGGCATATTAGATTTCCTTAACGCATTGAATAAGTTGTGGTGGAAATGTTGATCATACTCCAGCTGGCACTTCTATCAAATCAAGCGGAACATTTTGAAATTTTCACCAAAACGAAGATCAACTATATCGTCTCTTTTGTGCTTCTCAGGGAGACGTGTGTCAATCATTTCATTTATATAGCGCAATTTTCAATAAACAATTGTTTTTGTATATATTACCTTTTAAATTTCTCAAAATTATTAGAATTTTTTCGGGAATAATAGTTTTATTCGAAAATAAAAGTTCCTTAGTAAAATGTGTTAGCGTTAACAACTAACTTTTTTGAGAAGTAGTGTATATATGTTTAAGAAATTTGCACACAGCACATACACTCACTCTCTCTCTCTCTCTCTCTCTCTCTCTCATTATCTCACTCACTCTCACTCAGGCGTTAACAAACAGACGGAGGTGGATTCGTGGAGCACTGCAGAAGAATTCGCCTCTGATCTCTTATCATTAAGGTGATTATTACTATTAGTATTATTATTATTATTTTTATTTGTAGCAGTAGTAGTAGTATTAGTTGTTGTTGTTGTTGTAGTATTAGAAGTAGTAGTAGTAGCAGCAGCAGTAGTAGCTGTAGTCTTATTATCCTCATTATTTCTATCATTGATATTATTACTAGTAATAGTGATAACATTGATGATACTACTGATACTACTGCCAATAAAAAAAATAATAATAAATAATAATAATAACAACAATAATACTGATACTACTACTAATACAAATAATAATATTTATTGTTATTGTAAAAATAAAAATAACGCGCGCAGTAATAATAGTGTCATTGTAGCTAGATATTAATAGCAATACAAAGCCCAAAAGCAGCACGGCGCTATGTTATATTAATCATGTAATATACTACTGCCACTACTACTACTACTTCTCCTGCTACTACTACTGCTACCACCACTACTACCACTACTACTGCTGCTACTACTACTACCACTACTACCACTACTACTATTACTACTACTACTACTACTCCTACTACTACTACTCTACTACTGCTACTACTACTGCTACTACTACTGCTACTACTACTGCTACTACTAGTAGTAATATTACTACTACTACTACTTCTCTTGCCGCAAATACTACTATCACTACTACTTATATTACTGCTACTACGGCTACTCCTAATGCCGCTACGAATATGAGTAGTAATAAATAAATGATGACAATTGTTGTTAAAGTACGGCCACAATGTTAATAAATCTGAGCAGAGGAATCGCCGAGGAGTCGATATACGGTTGGTCGTTGGAGTTGGAAGAGAGCGACCACAGCGTCTACATGACTGGCTCCGACTTTCTCTTCGACGCCATCAACAAAGTTGAGAACGACGAGAAGTTGTTGCGGATCGGTAACGACGATGTGGCCGATCTACAGACTTCTTCCTGTAGTTTTGTCGTCTGCTGCAATAGCAACAATTTTAAAGGGTCGGTTTTTTTCATGTTTTTATAACAATTCGTTAAAATTGAGACTAATAAACTTTAAAAAAGTTAAAATTACTCTGATTGGCTGTGTTTTTTTTTATTTTCGAGACATTGATACAATTTCAATGTTATTAACTTAATTAATCTATTGCAAGAACACGAACTAGTGAACAAATAACATTAAAGTTATTTATAATGACCATAATGATTGCCCCAGACCGCCATCCAACGTATCCTCCCTGACCTGCCACCAACCAATCGGCATGGAGGACATCGAGGAGGTCAAGGACTTTGTACCTGCCACACCTAGGTCAGCATTCCTTCCATCTTCTTTCTTCAAATTTACCAAACGCAACGACTCCGTGTACGCGAAAGTCTACCACCAGCCACCATCGAACGGCAGTGTCGACAAGGACGCTCTCGGTCTCTCCCTCCTCTCCCCCTTGAACGCCCGCTACAACAACTTGAGGTTCATGAAGATGGGTGACGACGGTTACGCAGAACCTGTCGTACAGAAGCTAAGGCGGGTCCAGGCGACCATCGTCTGCAAAGATAAAAAGCAACAAGTCAAAGCTAACGAGTACTACGATCCTTACGGCGTAAAAAAAATGGAGCAGACCAACGACAACATATATGACGTCATCGCCACTAACAATAACATCAATACGATGAACAACCACAACAACAACAAGAACACAGCAGCTGAATATTCAGCAGTGCCCTTATATACCAACAAGAATGAACAACAACAACAAACATTACAACTACTACCATCATTACAACAACGCCAACCACAGCAGCAACAGCAGCTGTCCCAGCTACAAAAACTACAACAACGCACACAGCAGCATCAACAACAACAACAACGTCCACAACAGCTCGCACAACAACAACAACAATCACGAAAACACGACCAATCCGACACAGACCAGTTCTTAGACAACATATTCAGTGGCATTGGCGATGATGACTCGGGCAGGCAGCACAACGTCACCCCAAAAGACATCGCTAAGAAGATAAAGGGTGGCGATGATGACAAAAACTTGGTGAATGTTAGTATGATGTCATCATCTTTCTCATCATCACACACGTAATTGCAGCCATCGTCATTGTCATTAACATCTACAGGATGTTTAACATCGTGACGATGATAATGGCGATGACGATGATAGTTACGAATTAACAATGTGAATAATAAATATGAGGAACTGTGATAGAAATGATGGTTGTTGTAAAACGATGATGATGATGATGATGATGATGATAATGATTTCCATCTAAACTTTGCAGCCGACAGCTAAAGTAACTTTCCTAGGACAAAATTCAGGCAAGTTTCGTTTCGTATAAATGCGCCACAATGACATGGTGATGACGACGATGAAGATGACGAAGACGACCACGATGATATGATGATGACGACGTTGATGATGACGAAGATGATGATAATGATGATGATGATGATAATGAAGACGACGACGATGATGGCGATAACGATGATGACGATGATGATGACGTCAAAACAGGCCAGCCACGTAACCCGATGTACCCACCAGCGCCTTCGATACCGGCTCCGATTCCATTCCAGGCATCATCATCAACACTATCAACATCATTATCAGCACTTGAAACGCAGATGCAGCATGAAAGAAAGGTAAAAAAGATGATATTAAAGAGATTTAAGGAGACAATATCCTTAATTAATGATTAGTTGTTTAGTTTGATGATTGGTTGATTAATTGATTGATTGATTGTTTGATTGATTGATTGATTGGTTGGTTGGCTGGCTGGTTGGTTGGTTGGTTGATTGGTTGGTTGATTGGTTGGTTGGCTGGCTGGCTGGCTGGCTGGTTGGTTGGTTGGTTGGTTGGTTGATTGATTGATCGGTTGATTGACTGCTCTCAGTTGTTGAAAGATAAGCACAACATCAGTGTCATACAATACAAACAACAAGGGCAACCACGCTGTTGTTGTTGACGTCATAAACCCCAGCCTAAGTCGCCCCATTCAACCCCAACAACCACAAAATTATCTTGAGGATGACGGCAACACTGCTACAGTCATATCAGTAACCAGCAACCATCCAGCCAAACCCGTCAACAAGAATTTCAACCTGCAGCAAATTATCCAACAACGACCTATGCCAAAGAGACCAATTATAAATATAGCCCCAAAAAATCCCAACAATTCCAACAACAACACCAATGACAACAGTAAAACCAATGACAACAACAAAACTAATAACAACAACAACAGCGACAACATTAATAAATCTAATGACGCTAACAACAGCAAGGATTCTAGCACTAACAACAACCCAAAGACTGTCGTCTGGCCGCCACCTACAACCGCGAAAAAAGAGATTTACCGGACGAAGAAGGAGGTTTCAAAGATGGCAATTAAAGAGAACAACCCTGTCAAGCACCTCCATTTCGATAAAAACAAAGTATTATTATTATTATTGTAATTATTATTATATATTTTATTATAGTTATTATTTATTTTATAATTATTATTATTATATATTTTATTATAGTTATTATTTATTTTATAATTATTATTATATATTTTATTATAATTATTATTTATTTTATTATTATTATTTATTATTTCTTTATTATTTTTTGTTACTCGATTTTTTTGGTCGTTTGTTGCAACCTGGTTACTGAATTGTTATTTCTTCGTATTCGTCGCGAATGAATAAAACAGCGGTTGTCATCAATGTCTCTGTTCGACGAGTGAGTACCTTCCGTCACCTGAGCAATATTTAACAAAATATAATGTTACCTAAGATGGGAATGCTTAAAAACTACTTTCAAATTCATCTACTAGCCACTACTTGTCATGGGTAAGGAGGAGTTGAAGAAATTAATAAGCCCATCATCATCAGCAGCAGCAGCATCAGCAGCAACAACAACAACAACATCATCCTCCTCATCTTCATCATCAACATCATCCGACAACAAATCATTCACAACAATCACAACGCCGTCAGAATCTCCTCCTACATCAGCAATTAAGACACCACCAGCTGCTGCTGCTGCAGCAGCTTTAGCAGCTGCAACAACAGAAGCGACAACGGTGGCAACGACAGCAGCGACAACGGCAGCAGCTAGCGGCAAGAAACAAAATGTTAATAATGTTGAAGTACCTTTAGCTTACAAGGTGGCACCTCAAAATAGCAACATTCCGCGCAACGACGTCACAGGCAACAGCAACAATTCAAGAGCTAAAAAGAGACTAAAGCACATCTCAAACAAAAACTTCAACAACGATGCCAATAACAGCAACATCAACAACAACATCAACAACAGCAACATCAACAACAACAACACCAACATCAACAACAACAACAACAACCTCAACGGACAATCATCATTCTCATCGCCATCCTCGACCATATCGTCGTTATCGTCTGCAAACTCATCTAGCAAGACGTCACCAATTAATTTGGATAGGTTAACAGAAGATGATATCGAAGACGATAGGGAGTTTTTCGATCTGAAGACTTTAGAAACCAAACAAACTACCTTACATCTTTTTTCACCATCATCTTCATCATCACCACCATCATCATTGTCACCGAAAGCAAGGCATTTGAGTTACTCAGGCGAATGTTTTAAGCTGATTATTAGGAAGGAGGTGGTGATGTTGTTGTTGTTGATGTTGCTGTTGTTGTTTTTAATCAATCAATCAATCAATCAATTAATCGATCAACCAATCAGGCAATCATGTAACCACTTAACTAATTATTTAACCAATTAGACAACCAATCAACGAGCCAATCAACTAACCAGCAAATCAATCAACCAACCAATCAGTCAACTAATCAATCAACCAATCAGTCAGTCAACCAATCAATTAACCAACCATCCAATCAGCTATTCACACCGAATGAAACATTAACGAGACCGCTGGTGATCGAGCTGATATACAGACAGATCGTCAGCGATTTGAAAAAATCATTTTGCATCAGGGTATCAGACGATGATAAGCAGAAATTAAAATCAGAAATTGGTTAAAAATTAACTTAAATTAAAAATAATATTTCATTTTTCTAATTTAGCAGCTCATAATTCGATTAAATTTTTGATTTATTCGATTAAATTCAAGCGTTTTATCTTTTCGTATTATGTACAATTTATTTAAGAAAAGGCAATTCATATTAACATTGATTGTATCTAACGGTGATAACTGATTTTATATAATAATTTGGGGGTCATCATCATTATCATCATCACCATCATCTTTATAGCCATCATTATTATCATCCACTATGATCATCATCATCATCATCATGACTTAACTATCATCATCGTCGTCGTCGTCAGGATCACAATCATTATCAACATCATCATCATCATTACCATTATCATCATCGTCATTACCATCATCATTACCATCATCATCACCAGGATGTAAAGACTTGAGCAGCTTCATGTGCTCTAACTTGGATATCAAGCTGAAAGAAAAAATCATAGAGGCTGTCAAGAAATGGCCTTATTATTTCTCAAGAATATACCATGTTAACGTACGTATAATGATAATAATACATACGTACCTACATGTAAATATACCTATATGTATATAATATAATGTAATGTAATATAATATAATATAATATGATATAATTTGATATAATATAATATAATGTAATGTAATGTAATATCAATCAATCAATCTTCGTTTTGCGTCCAGAGACCCAATGTAATGTAATATAATATAATGTAATGTAATATAATATAATATAATATAATATAACAATAATAAATCATCGTTGTTGTCATCACATCATTTTGCCATCTTTGTCCTAAATTTTATTACTATTTGCATAATTTAATAATCATTTCAATATTTTTCTTTACTCTATCATCATTATTCCTCATCATCATCGTCATCATTATCACCATCGTCATCATTATCACCATCGTCATCATTATCACCATCATTATCACCATCGTCATCATTATCAGGGAGGATCACGTTTAAAAAGTGTTACGTTCCTCGGAGTCAGTCATTCAGGTCTGAGGCTCATGAACCGGGTTCAACTACAGCAGCTGTCGGCACAACAAAATCAACAGTATCAGTTCAACACTCTTGAAATCATTTCGTAAGTCCGCAAGTCTGCTAATCTTTCAACTATAAATTTATTATTACTTTTTTTATTACGTAACGTATTTAAAATTGTAATAATAATAATAATTAATAATATTATTTATTATCATTTAAATATCAATCATGATATTCAGATACCAAGACATCATTGACGTCTGCTGTCCGCAGCCAAAGACGCTACAGATACACTACAACTCCATTAAGTACGTTGTCCTGTACTTCAAAGAGGTTACTCATATCATTCTCATTCTTCTCCTTCTTCTTCTTTTTCTTATTATTATTGTTGTTGTTGCTGCTGCTGTTGTTGTTGCTGTTGTTGTTGTTTTTGTTGTTGTTTGTTGTTGTTGCTGCTGTTGTTGTTTGTTGTTGTTGTTGTTAAAGAGTTTATATTTTGATTGTTATATAGAAAGATACCGTGTCACTTTTCTGTCAGTAGTCGTTTGTTATAAAGTTTGTGAGAGCATCTCATTGATATACTATCCAATAACTGTTGATACCACTAAGGTTGTTATCATCTTCTTAGCCGACATGACATGCGATCATCGTCGTCATTATTACCATTTAATTCTTTCTGTTGCAGGCAAACATTGTGAAGAATTTAATTGATGCCTTCTGCATAGAATGCGAACAGGTAATTATGCATGCACACACACACACACACGCACGCACACACACATACGTACATTCACATCCACAACAGAACACAGTGTACGTGAAAGCCATCGCCAGCTACCAGACCTCTGAAAGTCTGCTACTAAGCTTCAAAAGGGGAGACATCATCAAACTGACCAATAAGGATCAAGCTGTTCAAGAAGGTAGGCGGAGTTTGCATATCATTGCACACGCTTTTTAAACATTTGTACATAAATACTCATTGAATACATGAACACATGCAGGCTGGTTGTATGGTACGTTGAATGGTCGTGTGGGTATGTTCCCAGCTGAATACGTCCAGGTTTTACCAGCTCATCAAGTGTCGAACTTCCAAGGTTTATCAAATGAGTACGCCAGTAGCCAGAGCTTAAATTTGGTGGGTTGGTTGGTTGGCTGGTTGGTTGGCTGGTTGGCAGGCTGGTTGTTTAATTGAACTTGTTAATCAGTTTGAATTCCACAATCACTACCGATTTTATTTTCAGTGTTCTTCGATAGCACCATTCTCATCATGATCGTTATCATTAACTTTACCAACATCATCATCATCATCATCATCATCATTATTAATCAATAACTATTATTATTGTTATTATTATTATTATCATCGTCATCATAATTGTTATAATTATTTATATTTAAGATTGATAGTTTTGAGACCATGACGAATCAGACGATGTTTGCGGAGGCAACGAAGAAATATCGCATGCTGGAGTTCGCTATCAAGCACTTTCGCAAGCCCATCAACATGTCCGTAAGCGTAGATACCGTGACGTCGTACGTGGTACGGTGACGTCACGTTATTTTGGTTATGTCTTCATATGGCTAGGACGACGATATGGTGAAATGACGATTGTAGAGCTATGATGTGGTATCTAGTGTCGTTAATGTGGCTACCAAAGTGTGGTGACTGTGATGTTAATGATGACGATAATGATAGCAGTGATACATTTTGGTCTTTTGTTTTAAATAGTTATTTCTTTTACATAATAACTTAATTTAATTATTTTATTTAATTATTAATAATTTAATTACTTTTTTCATAACAGATATGATAAAGGATTTAAGAACAAAGGTTTTTATCGGATTTTTTCAATTCAAAATTCGATGATCATTCAATTTTTTATCGTATTAAAATATATTTAATTTCTAATTATTAATGATGTCATCATCATCACTACCATCATCGTAATGACGTCACCATCATCATCATCATATAATTGTCATAGCCATCATCCTCTTCTTATAATCGATCATCATCATCACCATCATCGTAATGACGTCACCATCATCATCATCATATAATTGTCATAGCCACCATCCTCTTCTTATAATCGATGTTTATGATCGCCGCAATGCTTACGTCATTTTCAAACCAACCAATCACAGAGAAGCAGGACTTCACGTGGCATAGCTTCATCGAGCTGGTTAGCTGGACAAAGGTATACAGCGTTCTATACAATAGTAATACAATAGCTTGCTGCCCATAGCATTACATTACGTCGCCTTACATTACTTTTCTTCACATTACATTACATTTTTATTACATATTACATTTCTTTACATTAAATTACAGCGACATTACATTTTTATTACATTTCTTTACATTACATTACAGCGACATTATATTTTTATTACATTTCTTTACATTACATTACAGTGACATTACATTTCTTTACATTACAGCGACATTACATTAAATTAAAATGACGTGTATTTCTTAATTTGTTGGCAGTCTCCTATTGAATACTCACTGACAAAGATAGGATCGGATAAGTTGAACAAGATTGCTGTGGACAAATTTATAAGTGGGTTGTGTTGCTGTTATTTGGATGTAATGTCTCAAATTAGTTACTGTTATTGTTGTTGTTTGAATTTAATGTCTCTAATTAGTTACTGTTATTGTTGTTATCTGGATTTATTGTCTCTAATCAGTTACTGTTATTGTTGTTATCTGGATTTATTGTCTCTAATCAGTTACTGTTATTGTTGTTATTGTTGTTATTATTATTGTTATTATTATAATATGTATTTTTTTAAAATACTTTACTGAATAAAAAAGTTTATTTGAATTGAATTATTACATTATTATGGTTGTTGTGTTGAGGCGTTTTTTTTTGTTATATTTCAATTCTTGAATCAATGCCTCCAACATTTCTACGCGAGTGGAGGAATGACGTGAGAAATGATTTAACTGCTGGCATTGTCATGATCATTCATCTTCACTGTTATCATCATCAACATCGTCGTCATCATCAACATCGTCATCATCATCATCAGCATCTTCGTCATCATCGTCGTCGTCATCGTCACCACCAGATATAATGCAGTACATGAACGACTACCCGATGCCAAAAGTAGCAGCAGCAACTGAGGCTCCACCCTTACCACCATCGGCGACAACATCGTCACTACTATCATCGCCGCCGATATCGTCATCATCAATTTGTGATTTAGTCACGCAGATATTGTCGTCGTGTTTGGAGTACCCGGAGCTTCGTGATGAGATCTACTGCCAACTCGTTAAGCAGACCACAGTCAACAAAAGTTCTAAACCGTTAGCCCCGATGATGACGATGACGACAACGACGATGGTGATGATGATGATGATAATGATGGTGCTGGTAGTAGTGATACTGGTAATGACGATGATAGTTATGATGTTTAAAGAACAGGTCGTTGGTGTTTAATTAAATGATTATGGAAATGTAATAATAATGACAATGATTTCTTTGATAACATCATGGCAACATAGCATCATGACATTAAATTTCTATGGCATCAATAACATCGCAATAGCTAACAATGGCATCAATTTTACTAGTGAGAGTTGCCAGCTTGGTTGGAGGTTGCTGTCACTGTATGCCTCCTTCTTCAACTGCTCGGATGCCTTACATCCCTATCTCATCAGATATCTCGAAGAGACTGCATTTGACGATAGGAGCACTCATTATTGTTCGTTTTTGTTTTTTTTTGTTTGTTCGTTCGTTCGTTTGTTTGTTTGTTTGTTTGCTCATTCCTTCGTTTGTGTCGTTGTTTGTTGTTGTTAGTATTTGTTGTTCTTCGTCTTTGGTTTATTTTGTTTTTATTTTACATTTATTTTGAAATCTGTTGGTGATAAGTAATCATGTAAATATTACGTCACGCACATCATCGTTACGTCACGCACATCATCGTTACGTCACGCACATCATCGTTACGTCACGCACATCATCGTTACGTCACGCACATCATCGTTACGTCACGCACATCATCGTTTACGTCACGGGATACAGTGCTGGCGGAAACATGTTTGTTGAACGTCAGACAGACAATGGCGTACGGCGGGAGGAAAGTTTTACCAGCCAGGAATGAAATATCGTCTGTGACTGTTAGTTTCACTGCTGCTCTTTATTCCTACACATACATCTTTCTCTCATCTATTTAACTATTTGATTGAATTGTCATGTTTTATTCAATCATCAACTTGATCGTTCGTTTGTTTATGTAATTTTTCTCTTCTCATTCGTTCAATCCATTCACTCACTCACTCACTCACTCACTCACTCACTCACTCACTCACTCACTCACTCACACACTTACTAACTCACTCACCACTTACTAACTCACTCACTCACTCATTCATTCATTCATTCATTCACTCATTTATTCATTCATTCACTCATTCACTCATTCATTCATTCCCTATTACAGGTTGGTCGTAGTACCCGTATAATGCCATTTTTCATAACGGACACATGTTCGCCTAGCCTCTCGATACAAACTTGCACTGTTAGTTTCTTGCTTATTTGTCTGCTTGCTTGCTTGCTTGTTTGTTGATGTCATTTTTTTGATGGCACTTGTTGCTGTTGTGGTCTTCGCTGTTGTTGCTGTTATTAATGTTACAACGATTGGGCTATATAAATAATGTTAATTCTAACCGATTTAATGTCATTTTAGAATTTTTATTTTTATTGAGAAATTTTAACTATAGTCAAATGAATCTTATTAAAAGTGAATTAGTATGGTATGTGAACACTTTAACAAGCAATTTTTCCATTTCCGATTTTTTTTCCATTTCCCATTTTTAACCTGGCGACATAGGTTGCTCGTGACGTCATCGATCAGTTATGTCGTAACATCGGAATATCTAGTGCACTGGAAAGCATGGAGTATGTTCTCTACGTCACTGTCGTGTCAGGTTGGTGTGGGGGTGTTTTTGTGGCCGATGGTGGCGTGTGGTGGTTGTTTTTGTGGTTGCTGGCGGTGCGGCTCTTGAAGGGGAGTGGTGTAATGTTTCATTCATATCTTTGGTGTGTCTTCAATGCCATTGTTTCTCAGTTGTAATGTTCATGTCGAGATTTTAAACGTTCAACAACTGTTTTTATTATTTATCGTTTATTTGTTCGTTTGTTTGTTCATCAGATCTGTTTTCGTGTTGCTCTGTCTGTTTACAATATTTATTCAATAAATTTGTCCATTCAAAATGTTCGACCAATGAAAATCAGACAAACAATCAAAATTCGACTAACCGACCAATCAGATTGCTCCTTCCATCCTCTACAAGACTTCAGCTATCTCATGGACACTATAACAGACTTCTCCTTGCGAAACGAACCATTCCAGCTGGCACTACGAAGGTTCACTTGGTTGCACGGTTTGACTCTTGACCCGCACCGATCCACTTACATTCAGTTAATGTACGATCAGGTCAGACCTGATTACCTCGATGGCTTCATGCTAAACATTCAATCGAAGAATCTCATGCCACATATTAAGGTTTGTCCGTATGTGTGTGTTTGTGTGTGTGTGTGTTGTGTGTGTGTGTGTGTGTGTGTGTGTGTGTGTGTGTGTGTGTGTGTGTGTGTGTGTAGTGTGTGTGTGTTCGTTTGACGTGGTTGAAGTATCTTCAATCGTACGTTGGTTAATTAAATATAATTAAATACTACACAGGAAGAAATAGCGAGGTTGTGTGCTCTGCAGATGAAGATTAATGACGTTAAGAACTTCGCCGACAAGTAAGAACGTTTTAATTAAATTAATTAATTAATTTATCAATCATTCAATTATCTGACAATTAATTATTCATAATTAATTATTTAAAATTATTTGATGAAAAACAGTTAAAACGAACTTAATTTATAAAAAATAAATAGGAAAGAAGTAGAAGCAAACATTCCAAAGAACGTCTGGAAGACGTCCAGCAGCAACATCAACCATTGGGTGGACAAGGTCAAGGTCATCTGTGGCACTCTGGAAGGATTCACCACACTTCAATGCTACTGCCAGTTTCTAGGTCAGAATGATGATGATGATGATAATGGTGACGACGATGGTGGTGATGATGATAATGGTGGTGATGATGGTGATGATGAGGTAAATGATTTTGATAGTGATGGAGACGTGGTGATGACAAATATGATAGTTGTATAAAAAGATTTTGCGTTCTTTAGTGTTCCCTTGTATTAGAATTTCATAAAAATACCTAATTTTGCATTTCACACGTACACACACGCACGCATACACACACACGTACATACACACACACACTCGCATACACTTACACACAATTATTGCAGATATTTTATCAAGATGGCCGTTATTTGGTTCCATGTTCTTCTTCATCAATGTTAGATGAGTGTGTGTGTGTGTGTGTGTGAGTGTGTGTGTGTGTGTGTGCGTGCGTGTGCGTGTGCATTAATATCTATTTAATAATTACAATATCTAAATCTTATTTTAATTAATCAAAGCGTGGTTCATCTATTATGATTTTATTTTATATTATTATTTATACTATTTAAATGAATGTATTCAAATGTTTTGCTTTGTCTAAAATTCAGATAAAATCTTTAATACTGATTGCACTTTTTACTTTTTAGATTAAATATTATAGATAGCTGAACATCCTCAATAGATCAATTAATTAACTAATTAATTAACATGCAATTTTCTATTTGAAACGTGCAGTCCGTATCAAACAACAAAGTGCCCAACAAGTGCATACTGGCCATCAACAAATCAGGACTATATTTCTTGGCCATAAAAACAAACGTTAGTGTATCAATAGTTTCAAGTAATTACTTGAGCTGTATGATTTTTGTAAGGATTTAAACAAATGCTGAATATTTATTTAACGGTGCCAATGACGAATTATTCTCTTCAATGAAGATACAAGTATTTAAATTATCTTTAATGCTGAATATAAAAAAATCGTTGTTGAAATTAATCTGATATTATTTTTACAAAAATAATTTCGGTTTGACAGCAAATTTTGTGGCAAATACCGATCCATGAAGTGTTGAGTGCCCGCTTGAGAGTTGACCCTGCTGACAAGATGTTCATCGACATCAAGCATGGAAATCTACTCGTCCAATCAACTCTACAAATTCAAACTAACAACGTACGTGCCTCTTTCTTTGTTTCGTTTGTCCGTTCGTTTTATCTTCTGTTTGTTCGTTCATTTGTTTGTTTGTTAACCATCATTTAAAAGATCAAACATCGACCCATTTTCCATCACATCAGGCTGACGCCATTGGTCTGCTCGTTGACAAATACATCCAAATACTGCAAGCCAACAAAGGTTCCTTTAAGAACCCCGGCAGCACGAGAAGTATCGACAAAATTGCTACCGTAGACTCTGCAACAACTGATGTTTCAAAATAAACCATCAAAAAACCTAGAGAGTTTTGTTGAAATATAAAATTTTTATAATTACTATAAACTTTCTTTTTTTATATGTGTTTCACGATTTATTTTCACACTTGTATGCTGAAATATTTTTTAACATTGTGATGTTTTTTACGTGAAGCTATTTTTTCACTGCCTGTATGTGTGTGTTTTGTACATCTGTGTTTTTTAGTAGTAGTACTACATATTTTTATAACTAGTTGTCGCCTATCTGTTAATCAAATTTTTGAAAAACTATCGGAAAAAGAGATGTATCTATCTACAATCTATATTAAATCACTTCTAATTTATTCACTACATTATTATAAATGGTGTTATTATTATTTCTTATTTGTTTTTTCAATGTTACAGAACGTATGATGATGCAATTAACTATGAACCAACGCTAAATCTCGCAAAGATGTGCATCTAACGTTGTTTTTCATGTCAAATCCATTCGTTGAATTAATTTTTTTGGAAATTATTTGAATGACACGAATGATGGACATGATGCTATAGACATGAAAGAATCTATCAGGTTGTTATTTTAGTTGAAAGTTAAAAAATATGTTGCCTCATAGTTTTTGTTTTTATTGTTTTTAAACGGGTCTGCGTTGGTACGTCAAATTATAATAATTTAGTATTTCTAAGAATTCTAGGTGTACCTATGAGTGTTTAAGATTTAAATCAAGAAGTTTTTTTTATGGCGTTGCTCACGCAGCGTTCAGTAGCGTTTTTTGTAGGTAGGATCTTGTGAACGCGTGTCTTAAAATCAACACGACAAGTAATGTAATGAAGAAAAGATCAGTGAATAATTAAAAAATGTAAGTAAAAAGTCCTGACAGAAAAGGACGGATTTGGCACGAAATCCATCAACAAAAACGAAAAAGAGAAGACCGCGTAGCTCTTGGTAAATAGCGAAGGAAGATGCTTGAGATAGAAACCAAAATTCAATTTAGATGATCAAACTTTTCGGATTCTCCTCTCCAGCTTAAACCTAAATTTAGCAATTTTAAAACTATTCAAAAACTTTAAAAAAAATAAAGGAATTGAAGTAACTAGTTGAAGCAACTAGTCAAATAGAGAGAGCAGCTGACTTGAAAGTTAGAGGTTATGAGAAAATAATTAGAGTAGAAAAAAATGTTTCGATAAATCAATTCGAGATGAAGCCCGAAAAGTAACAAAATGCAAAAACTTAGATCTAATAAGCATAAATTCGATATGTTTAAATAGAAAAAGCGTGTTTTACAATACACAGTAAATGAAAATAAGGCAATCAGTAAGTGATTGATTATAACCATACAATCATACCATACACACATAACATACCAAATGTTTTCCAGTCAACTTGTTTATGTGTTATAGTTCGATTTCTGCACTTCAGGCACATCAATTACAAATGACAAACATCAAACTAATTCCAGCTAATCTTTTTGTTTTTATTTACAATATGGAAAGTTGAAGAATTAAGAAACTCATTAATTTGTTTCTCCCAAATCAGCATGGAGTTTGCCAAATCAATTTTAGGCATAGGCAATCCGGCAGGGTACAGTTCGAAACGCGTTAAAGGTTGTTTGTTAATACATATTATGTGTCGTCTCATCAAATTTTTTGTTTTTTAATTTAAACTCCTGTAATAAATTTTTTAATTTAATTTATTTTTAGTTATTAAAGATAAAAATTATTAAATATTTAATCAAAATACTAATCACTACTGACGTTTTAATATTATTAATCATTTTTCTTATAAAATAAATTTGTAATTTGTTTAAATTTTATAATTAACTACTCTTTAAAATTTAAAAATCTAATGCTAATCTTATCTTTTAAAAATAAAGTTTTCTAATTTTTTACTTCAATCATTGTCTGAATTGTGTTGGATGTCATTGTAATTGTAGATGTCATTCATTATTGACATTCCTCAAAGAATTGTACAGTTAGATATTTGTATGTAAATTAGCAATGCATGTTGCTAGAATATCTAATTAATTTACCCATTTATTTTATTAGGCTTATTAATATGGCATAAAATACAAATATTAATAAATTAATATTAAATACACAGCAATGTACCCAATGTAATGCATGCATGCTTGCTAAATAAACCAGACTTTGTTCACTTAAGTTAGATGTCTGTATAAATCTCTCTCACTCTTTCTTTCTTCTCTCTCTAGTTTTTTATATTTATCATTTACACACACACACACACACACACACACACATATATATATATATATATATATATATATATATATATATCATTCATTCATTCATCCATTAAATGTTGTTTAATCAGTTTGTCCTTTTTCAATTGATTGATCGATCGATTGAATGTTATAAAAGAAGATGTGTGTATGTAGATTTGGATTGTATTGTATTGTATTGTATAGTTATTTATGCCTGGCTGTTATTGATTTTTCTCAGTAATCATTTAATTGTTTCCCAATATCCTTTCACTGTGAGTTGAGTTAACAAATGTTGTTGTTGTCATTGTTGTTGCTGTTGTCATTATTGCTGTTGTGGTTGTTGTTTGTGTACTTTAAGGTTTTTGAAATTTCTTCTGCTGTTCCTTGTCAAATTTTGTGGATTTCATCAGCTAGCTGTTATATTCTCTTAACTAATTAGAATATTTGTTGCTATCGTTAATTTTTATTATTTTTTGTTATTTATTTTTTTCATTTATCTTTTATCTGTCATCGGATGTCGATAAGTTGTTTTATATAGAAGTCTTTTCGTACAGCAATCAATTTTAGTTGGGCTAGTTTATTAAGAACTGCACAATGAATATATAATCATAATTGATAATTTTACTGTTTATGAAGATTCTCTTGTTTTTATTTATGTCTATATTTGTTTAATTGCCGGTTTATTTAAATTTTTTTAGGTTATAATGATTTTAGCACACAAAAAGTGTCAAATATTCATAAATTTGAGTTTGTTCAGATGTGAGTTTGTGAATTTTGAATTGTTGTTTTAATAATAATTTCTTTATTTAGAATAATAAAATTAGAAAGCTCCAGTTTTTTTTCAACTTCTTTCAAACTTTCTCCAGCTGAAACCTTATTTGATGACGACGACGACTTCAATCCAAACATCAACAACATCGACAACAACAACAACAACAATGGCAATGACACACAACAACAACACATGAACAGCCACAACAACAACAATGGCGCATCCGATGACAGGTTGACACTTTCGACGGCTATCCCATCCCTCAACCCATCCCCTGGGGGACCATTCTCAGCTCTAACCCCATCCATGTGGCCGCAAGATATTTTACTAAGATTACAAGTTAGTGAATGATTAGGCAATTAATTTATTCATGCATATTTTACTTAACATAGATTTTATGCTAAGATTACATCAGGTTAGTGAATGATTAGGCATTTAAAATGCTTATTGCTAATGATGGTAATATTAATATTTTTATTTTTGCATATTTTTCGTTTATTTTTATTGTTGTTAATATAATATTGATGATTATAAATTGAACATAACAGAACGATGAAGATGATGATGACTGCATTGATTATTGGTATGATGAATTTGGCTTCAAAGTTGAAGAAGAAGGTTAGTTGAATGATTGATTGATTGATTGACTGCTTGGCTGATTGAATAAGTTTGAGATTCATTGATGAGTTGGTTGATTTGTTATCAATCTTAAAAGCCTTTTTAGTTTTTCTTCTTAATTTATTTGTGAAAATTTTATTGTTTCAATTATTCTTGGCCAACTTCTCAATTAGCTGTGTGCTCCATTTGATGTTATATTACTTCTTTCTGTTCTGCCATTTTTTTAGATTTGTTATCTTTGACATTGCAATAATTTACGTTGCCTCATTCTTTCTCCTCATGAATTTATTCAAACGTGACAAAAATATAACTAAAAATTTAATTCCTCTCTGAGGTTATTTTCATAAAATCAATAGAAGGACTATTGATTTGATCATGTGCATCTGATTAGTCAAATGTTTTCATATTTTTCAACTCTACTTTCATATTATTATTTCTATTGCTTGCTATACATTTAATATTCTTCAATGGCTGATAAATTTAAATGTGGCCATTATTATTATTCATAAATTATGTTAACGTATGTTGAATTATGTTGAATTATGTTAAATTGTATTAAATTATGTTGAATTATGTTGAATTTAATGCACAGACGGCCCAGAGGAGAATTCAAACAAGTTATTGAGTCAGAGATTCGTAGAGGACCCGCAGCATCGACTCAAATGGATCGCCTACCTCGAGTTCTCTCACAGTACCAGTCTAGGTGATCTTACATGGGACAGTGTACGTTTTGGTTGTGATTATATTAATTATTTTTAATTAATTAGCGTGTTGACCACGATAAATTTACATTGCTTACATAACAAAATATCCCAATGCCTTTCGTGACTATTAATTATCTTATATTTCCTCGAAATGATCAGATCGACATTCGACTGCCTACCTCTGAGAAGTTGAAGTTGATGGTGCGCCAGGGCATCCCTCACTCTCTGAGACCCTACATCTGGATGAGGACGTCGGGGTCACTAGAGAAAAAAACCAAGATGGACACCAACTACAAAATGGTTGTTAAAGCCAGTTCAAATGACCACCTTATGACCTCAAAACAAATCGAAAAGGTTTATCCTTTGCATAATCTTCAATCATTTTTTCACAATTTTTTGATTTGCTCCATTTGGATGCATGCAATATTATCAATCACTTTATTTTATTTTCGCCATTCTTATCACTTCTAACACCTACATCATTATTACTAACTTCCATCATTATCACTAACTTCCATCATTATCATAACGTAGGACCTCTTAAGGACAATGCCAAGCAACGCCTGTTTTTGTAATATAAATAGCACGGGAATTCCCAGGCTGAGAAGGGTCTTGAGGGCGATAGCCTGGCTTTTCCCTGATGTGGGCTACTGCCAGGGTACTGGCATGGTAAGCCACCGTGATTACTAATTAACATAACATGCATAATTATTTTCTGTTCGGTCTGTCGGTTTAGCCATTATATAATATAATAATATAATTTTTTGGGCAGATAGCAGCATCCCTATTGCTTTTTATGGAGGAGGAAGATGCTTTCTGGATGATGAGCACCATCATCGAAGACATCCTCCCTGCTTCATACTTCTCCAACACGCTGCTCGGTGTACAGGTTCGTTGCCGGTGATAATTATTATTACAAAAATAATTATTAACATATAATAATAAAATAATAACAGTAATAATATTGATATTAATTGTATTTTTTTTTCTTGGTTTCACATTTTAATGCAACTAGATAGGATGTTGATTTTTTAGTTTGTCTCTGATAAATGAAACACACATGCATGCACATTTACATACAAGTGCAAGCAATGCGGTCGTTGGCTTTTGACTTAGGCAGCATTTGAACCCTGTCAATGTGCAATAACGGATGTACAGCGCACCTATACCATCTGACCTAGCTCTCTTATCGTCATTTAATGGATTTACCTTAATCATAGGCTGATCAAAGAGTGTTGAGACAGTTGGTAGTTACATGCCTGCCCAGCATAGATGCTAAATTGAAGGAACATGATATAGGTTGGTTACATTAAATTACATTACGTTACGTTACATTACATTGAAATACATCACATCATACGTACATGAATATGCTACGATTATGTGAATGTTTTTTGTCATGTTACAAATTTTATTTAATTTTGTGTTGTTGTTATTATTAATTGTTGTTGATGAAATGATGACATTATGTTGTTTAGTTGTTGTTGTTGTCGTTGTTATTATATGAATGTTAGTTTGGCTTTGTTACGAATGTTTTTCTTTAGTAATATGTTATGCAATTAATTTGAAATGTCGCGACTGTTTTACAATTGACATGCTAATCTATATTAACAAACGCATAGATACGCAGACGTACAGCCACACTGACAAACACACACACACAAAACGTCATCCCGACAGAACTTTCCCTGATAACATTACACTGGTTTCTGACGTTGTTCTCTAGTGTCGTGCACATGAGGGTGCTTCTGAAGATATGGGATGTCTTGTTCTACGAGGGCTCCATCGTCCTCTTCCAGATGACCCTGGCTATGCTCAAGTTGAAGGTCAGTTTGAAGGTCATGATGCGCTGTGCTGTGTGTTGCGACGGGTGTTTTGTGTTGTTGGAATGGCCTTTTTAGAAATTGACTTTTCCAGGAGGTAAATAATTGATGATAGCTGGCGTGAAATAACTTTAAATTAAGGCTATTGTCATTTTTTATTGTTTTTTTATAAATGCTTTATCGTTTGTTTGTTGTTGTTGTTGTTGCTGTTGTTGTTGTTGCTGCTGTTGCTGCTGCTGTTGTTGTTGTTGTTGTTGTCACTGCCTTCAATGTTGATGTTATATTTCCACTGACATAGTGTGATTTCATTTAATTTCTTAACGACTGACATACACAAGGAGAGAGAGATACTAGCATTGGAGAACTCGGCACAGATCTTCAACGTCCTCTCTGATATACCTGGGGAGGTGCAGGATGTTGACGAACTCATTGAGGTTGTTCAACTTCTTTCAGTTACACTTTGCATTTTCTACAACTTTGTCAGATAAATTTTCTAATTTATTCTATGGAGTTGTATTTTTCGCTATTTTTTTTTCATTGAGTATTCAAGTACACCAATGAAATGAAACTTTTTTCTAATATCTCGTCATATAATTGTTAGAACTGCAGAACATACGCACGAACGAGTGCACGAACGAGTGCACAATCGCACACACTCACGCACACTCAATCACACACATTCACGCACATACACACACAACATGCAGATTGCGTTCAAGCAGTTTGGTTCGTTGACGGATGTATGCATAGACACACAGAGGCGCAAACACCTGGCCTACCTCATGGCCGATCAAGGATGCCTCATTAATCCGGAATCCGTCAAAAATCTTCCCAAGCAGGTAGCAACCAACCTTCCTGACTTTTGCTTGTTTTAGGGATCGATACATTGAATTTTAAAAACCATATAGTGAAGATGTATAATGGTCAATCAAATGCAATTTTTTCCTAGCAACTGACCAGACGCCACTTGAAGCACTCAAAATCTTTAATGTCTTTGGTATTCTGGGGCAACCATGACGACGACAGTGACGTCAACTCTGAGAAGACGAAGAACATCCGGCAGACGGAGATCCTGGTAGATCTGAGGGAGGCCATCTTGCAAGTGGCCAGACATTTTCAGTCTCTCGATCCCGCCAATACAAAAATTGTTCGTTCGTCTTTCCGTTGTTTTCTTGTGTCAGATGCTGTTGTTTTGATCCTGCTATGTTGCTTGATTTTTAAAGTTTGATGGTTTTTATCCGCTGCTTTTATCCAGGCTATATCAATCAATGATTGTATTTGTAACTTTTATAGATTTTCATCGCCCATTACTTTAACCTAATTACTGTTTCAATTAACTAACTACATTTAACTATTTGAGTTTAATTAAATGATTTTTAATTAATCAATTACCTTGAATATGAGTTATAGCCGCCTGAAAATGAACACCACCAAAACAACAGAACCTACAAGCGGACTACCTGATGGAATCACACGCAAGGGACCTGGAGAACTTTGTGAACGTATCAAGGGATCGGAGAAAGAGGGCCAAGGCTTTGCTTGATTTTGAGAAGCACGGCGATGACGAGCTGGGCTTTAAGAAAAAAGATATTATTACGGTTTGTTTATTATTATTATTATTATTATTTTTATGTTTTTTAAAGATTGGATAATTTTATCCCTGCTTGGTCCGCGTTGTGTTGCGTAAGGCAGGCCTACGCTGCTTATTTTGTTATTTTATTATGTTTCTTCACGCTTGTATGCTGTCATCCTTTCATTCATTCGTTCGTTCATTCATTCGTTCATTTATTCATTCATTTATTCGTTCATTCATTCATTCATTTGTTCGCTCATTCGTTCATTCATTTTTTACTAATTCATCCCGTTTTTAGTTTTTTTGATTAATTCATCAATTAACCCATTCTATCTCACTGCAGATAATATCACAAAGGGACGACCACTGCTGGATTGGTGAGTTAAATGGTATGAGGGGATGGTTTCCCGCCAAATTTGTTGAACTCCTGGACGAGCGTAGCAAAAGTTACACGTCTGCCGGCGACGATGCGGTCACTGAAACCATCACTGACATCGTCAGAGGAGTGTTAGTAGGGTTCCTGGTTATGTAGTCGTCAGAGGAGTGTTAGTATGGTTCCTGGTTATGTAGTCGTCAGAGGAGTGTTAGTATGGTTCCTGGTTATGTAGTCGTCAGAGGAGTTTTAGTATGGTTCCTGGTTATGTAGTCGTCAGAGGAGTGTCAGTATGGTTCCTGGTTATGTAGTCGTCAGAGGAGTGTTAGTATGGTTCCTGGTTATGTAGTCGTCAGAGGAGTGTTAGTATGGTTCCTGGTTGTGTAGTAGCTTCTTCAGCTGTTTAGTATTTAAGCCACGCGTCATCATCACGTCATTCTTATTATGATATCAACATCATTTTAGTCTGTTTTGTCATCATATAATGACGACCATCCACAATCATCATCGTCGTCATCATCATCATTGTAGTTTATGCCCAGCTCTGAAGGCAGTTTTCGAACATGGGTTGAGAAAGCCCTCTATATTGGGTAGGCCCTGTCATCCGTGGCTCTTTATTGACGAGGTGAATGCTGATGTAGCTGCTGCAACAGCTGCTGATGCTACTGATGCTGATGATGGTGTTGATAGTTATAGAGTGAATTTTGATAACGAACCAATGATTACGATGAAGATTACTCTGTTAGATAATGATGATGCGACGATGGCTCTGCTGATGGTGTGCCAATGGTGCCTGTCTTCAATTATTCTTCCTTTTAAACTTCACAGGCCACCACGAAGGAGGTTGAGAAGGATTTCGAGTCCGTATATTCCAGATTGGTGCTTTGCAAAACTTTCAGGTGATACTGTTGATGCTGATGGTTGTGATAATAATGATATACGATACGATAATAATGATATATGATATGATACGATACGATACGATATATGATATTAACTTTTGCGGTCAAATAAAATACTTCTTATTCTTGTTCTCATATGATAAGATATTATGCGATATATGTTTATGATATGATATGATATGATATGATATGATATGATATGATATGATATGATATGATATGATATATGATATGATATGATAGTTACTTTCTTCGTCACATTTAATGTCTATCATTAAAATGTGCTCTTAATAAATGCTTCATGTAATGGCGATTATGGTATAGTTGTTGAACTCCAGCAAACAATGTTGAACGTTTAGGCTTCGATTCCTGCTTTAATCTTATAACATTTTATTGTGAATCGTTATTTATATGCTATGCTACTCGTCACTCCAGACTGGATGAAGATGGAAAAGTGCTGACTCCAGAAGAGATTTTGTACAGGGTTAGTGCATATATTGTAGAGAGCATACGTAATCTACATGGGTACATGTATGTAGGAATGTAATTTGTGTACCATTCGTTTGGGTTTTGTGATTAAATTTGTTGTAGTTTGCGCATGAGTCTATCTTTTTTTTCGTACATCCTGTGTTTTACAGCTGTCGCTGCAGTGCTCTGTGTGTATGTTATGTATTTATTTGCTCTCTTGTTTGGTTTAGTCTGGTAATTTCGTTGAGCCAGTTTGTTCGTTGATTTATTTTTTACTTTCTGCTCTCATTCATTTATTTATTCATTCATTCGCCTATTTGTTTACTCATTTCTTCTTTAATTGTTTGTTAAATCGTATATAAAGTTCACTAATTGATCCATGCATAAGTGAAATGTTACAAACGTACATGCATGTATGCACGCAGGCTGTCCATTCAGTGAACATGACGCACGACTCGGTGCACGCTCAGATGGATGTCAAGTTCAGATCTCTCATGTGCTGCGGACTCAAGTTGGTGCTGCTGCTGTTGCTGCTGCTGCTGATGGTGGTGGTGGTGATGATGATGATCATGATGATGGTGGTGATCGTGATGATGATCATGATGATGATGATGGTGATGGTGATAACCTCTACTTCACAATGATGACGATGATGATGACGATGAAAACAGCGAGCAAGTATTGCACTTGTGGCTAGAGACGTTGTGTTCGTGTGTGGATGTGGTCGAGAAGTGGTACCACCCGTGGTCATTCCTCAGGAGTCCTGGCTGGGTGCAGATCAAGTGCGAGCTCAGGTTTAGATAGCGATGTTGCTACCGCTGTTGTGTTTGTTGTGGCTATTGTGGTTGTTGTAGTAGCTGCTGCGGCTGTTGTGGTGTGATATGCTAAAATAGATATAGATGGTTTTGGTCTAATTATTGCCATCAGATTCGGCAATAATAACTAACGCTAATTCGTTACTACGGTTTCATGTGGGTTTGTTTTGTTGATAGTATGTGCCATAGGACCACTTAGTAATAATAATATTATTATAATTATTATTTCTATTTGTTACAAAATAATTTTAGTTGGTGCCAGTTTTTCTTTAATTTCATTTCATAGGCGTTTTTTAATTTATCGTCTCATTATTTTTAATTTAATTCATTTAAATATAATTTTCAGTCATCATGTTATAAATATTTTATAATTTCTTAGTAGCTAACATTAAACCTGACGTAGATTTTTGAGACGCCTACATTTAGTTTAGTTTTTCTAATGTGATTCAGTTCTTTGTGCATAATTTGGTCCATTTTAGTCATTTTACAATTTAAATATTTCCATAATTTTTTCACAAATTATTTTTTTCCATTTTTTGGAAATTTTTTCTTTACAGAGTTTTATCTCAGTTCTCTTTTAGTTTATCAGCAGATTGGGAGCTTCCGACCCACGATGAGAAAGTGATGAACCGACTGAAGTATAGCGTATCTGACATGCTGCTTCAGCACCATCTCTTTAGTTGGGAGTTATGAGGGATTATAACTTTCGTTCATTTTATTGTTTATTTTATTTGGTTTTATTTTTAATTTCATTTTATTATTAATTTTATTTTATTATTTAGCTGTGCAATTTTTCTGTTTAGTACATAAATACCTATATATTCGGACATCATGTATATGTCTTTTTCTTTATGTCTGTCTGTCTGTCTGTCTGTCTGTCTGTCTGTCTGTCTGTCTGTCTGTCTGTCTGTCTGTCTGTCTGTCTGTCTGTCTTCTGATCGTCTATCTTCTTTTTCATTTTTTTTTATCCATCTTTACACATGTTTGTAGGGTTATATATTTATCGTGTATATATTTATGTAAGCATGTGTTGTGTGTGTGTGTGCGCGCGTGTCTGTATTTGCATGTGCGTGTCAAATTAGTGATGTGATCTTTATCATAATCTGCCTTTGCAAAACATTCCTTGCAATAATAGTAGCTGATTTAACTGCAGTATCTAACAAAATACTTACCCTGTATTATGTATGTATCTGTATACAATTATACAATTTCCATATGTATGTATCTGTATATATTCCATATACAATTTTCTTTTTAATTTTTTTTATAAATAAGCACTTGTTGTATAATTGTTATGAAATCGATGAATGTCGTTGTAATTTTATTCCACGCCTTATTTTCTGGCACTTTTCTCAATTTTTTGATACTTCAAGTTTTGTATTTTCATTTTTGAGTTTGTGATTTTTCTGATGAGAATTCCATGTTGAATTTTGTCACCCTACACGTGCATTCCACTCAATAGCCAGTTAGATTATTAGTTTTGTGATTTAATTATTAAATTTATTTAATTATTTATTTTTATTTATTCATTCATTTGGATTGATATTATATTTTTAACAATTAAATTCATTATAAGCTTACATTACATCACAACACATCTGAATTCACAAATTTTTTTTACATTTACATTTATTTTTCTTCACGTTTTTGTTTTAAGAGTTTTATTTAAAATATTATATGATATGAAATGATATATAGATATGATGCATGATATACGATACAATTAATAACTATGCCATATACTAGCTATCTCTTATAAAGTCTTTGTGAGACTTAAACTTATGTATGTATAACCTCACACATATGCCATTGCTTTTGTATGTATGTCCAGTAGATGAAGATAATCAATAGATTGATGTGTAGTACGTCTATATATATATAAACGCATGTCTTTTTGGATTTGCATTTTTGAGATACTGAATAACACACTTTTTAATTAGATATATAACAATAACAACGAATAATATTATATAATAATAATTACTACTTTTGGCAGTAAAAGTAGTAGTAACGGAAGAAGTAGTAGTAGTAGTACTAGAGTAGTAGTAGTAGTAGTAGTAGTAGTAGTAGTAAGAAATAATAATGTTGCTCTAGTCTATTTCAATACTATATGTTTATACACACACACACACACACACACGTTTAGACGGCATTTTCCCCGAGATCGGGGGTTGCCGCTTGGCTACCTATAATGAAACCGAAATACCCCTCGACTCCATCCACATCTGTCACTCGCCTCAGTATCACGCAACCCCGCTTTCACCCTGTCCTTCTCCACCTGCTCTCTCCATCCCAATCGCGGACGACCCCTTCCTACCACTCCTTCAACCTCGAACTCCAACGCTCGCCTAATCCCGACCCTTTCATCCCTTCTCAACACATGTCCATACCACCGCAATCTCGATCTCCTTATCAATGTCACAATGTCCTCATTCAGTCCCATCATTGACATCAGCTCTGTACTACTCCTCCTATCCTTCACTTTAACCCCACACATCATCCTCACCATAGCTCTTTCAGCCCTCTGCAGTACACTTTCCTCCTCTCTCCTCAACACCCAAGTTTCACCACCATATATCATCGCTGCTCTCACACATGCTTTATATACCCTCCCTTTCATCTTCACTGACCATTTCTTTCCACACAATACCCCACCCAGTTCCCTAAATTTCATCCATCCCACACGAACTCTAGCCGTAACTGCGCTCAAACATCCTCCATCCGCATTCAGCTTATCCCCTAAGTAAACAAAGCTTTCCACTCTTTCAATACCATCACTCAACCCCGTCCTTGCGTCCGTCCTATTAATCACACCATGAACACATTTCTTACATTTGAACGTGCCTTCCACCTTTTTCAGTGCCCCCCTCACACCACTACATCTCTTATGCACCCATTTCTGACATCCTATACACAATACCGAGTTAGCCTTCACTCTCCTATCACATACCCCACAGGGGTCTATTTTACTTATCACTCGTTCCCCACCGTCCCAACTCACCATTACCTTCGTCTTACCAATATTAACTTTTAACCCTTTTAACAATACTATATGTTTATAATAAAAAATAATAATATTGTTATTATATTATTTTATTATTATCACTAAGCTGTTGAGTTTTTATATTATTTTGAGACTTGATTAATGAATAGCTTACATTAGATGATATACGAATCTTCAGAAATGGATTGCAAAAATTAATTATACAATATATATATTTGTAATATTTTACTTTAGAAATTTTATTATATAATAAATAAACTATAATTAGATTCTGCATAATTTTTTTGTTAGTGAAATCAGTATCGCGGCCAGAAACGTCTTGTAGGAAGGCTCGGATTTTTTAGAAAAAAAAATTGATTACCTTTAACTTTTTATTATTCGATGATTTTTTCATGATTTCTATACCCAAATTTGTATGTTTTAATCAAATTTTGCAAGACATTGCAGTTTTTTAAGGACCAGACACAATTTTAAACCAAAACGAAACGAAAGTTCGTTAAATTTAGGTTGATATTTTGTTAAATTTAACGTTAACTGTCACACAAATGTCTGGGTGTGATTTACTTTTTTGTATGTTAAACTTAAAATCTGCATTTATGTTTTTAAGTGAGATTATTTTATAAATTTCCATAATTTTTTTTATTATTTTTTCAAAACATTTCCAACGATAATTATTTTTAGAGGTAATTTGATATGATATTTGATTAAATCGTTCGGATTTTCATGATTATTTTTTTTTTGGTTCATCAAATAGTTATTGAATTATAGTACGTTTTTGTTCGTGCATTTTGCGTCTGCGTTGAACCTGATTTTTGTTGACTTTATAATTATTTTATTGATTTTTTGTTTAGTTAGTTTTTTAATTTATTCATTGATGGTGCTTCTTTGTAAAATATGTAAATTTCTAATTTGAATAGAAAATTTGTCCGCCATTATAAGATTTTTGGATTCTCAAATAAATTTATTTAAAAGATTTTTTCCTATGTAATACGAATCAAATCGCTTTAATAAGTAATGTTACTTTCGTTTTTATTTGTCTTAAAAGGTTTCTCCTTATTTAAAAGGCTGTGGGTACGTGTTATTCTTTTTTTTAATTAAATTCATTTTATTTTTGGTGACAATTCAGTTAAATCACTCACTATTCTTATCACAGATCACTTATTTAACGTTTCATTCTTGAAAAATGAACGTTGTCATTTGTGTTTTCGTTTATTTGTTCTATAGACGTGTCTGTTACAATTGTTGTTACAGTTGTTGTTGTTGGAATTGTTGTTGTGTGCAACGGTGCGTTGTTGTTTTTGTTGTTCGTACTGCTATTATATTTGGTATATTAATTACTAATCAGTGGTTTAATTAAAAATTCGCATGTATGTTGTAAAGAAGTTAGAACTTTTTCATATAGGCCCGTACTCTTTTTTAGGTGTTTTCATGTTAAAAAAAACAATTCCTGTCTTTAAAAGGCTATATTTGTTAATATAACAAATTTGTAGAAATGTTCCAAAAAAATTTTGTGGTGGGAAACTCCAGTTCCTTAGCTCCTTTTTGTCTAGCTTTTATTTATACTATTAACGTAAATAATCGATATCATTACCTTTGTCATTCTCATCGTCATTGCCATGGTTACTATCGTCATTCTCGTCGTCATCTTCATCTCCAAGATCATTATCATCATGTACAGGATCCTGGCACAGTTCGCATTCAACCTTTCTCAGGATTGGGAACTTCCCGTGAAGAGGGACGCCAGCAAGCCTCTGAAGGATGGCATCAGTGACATGATCATCAAGCATCACCTCTTCAGCTGGGATATCTGAGTGAATGAATGAATTGTTGAATATAATGCTAGATGAGTGAATGAATGACTGTGGAATTGAATGCTTGATGAGTGAATGAAGGAATGCATGAATGAATGTATGAATGAATTGATGGATGAATAAAAATATAGATTAGATAGATGGATGAATCAATAACCAAATGAAAACGTCACTCAAAAAATTTTTTAATCTAGAAATCTGTCTCTATATAAATTGAAATGCTGTTTAGTAGTTGTATCAAGTAGATCGGGTCTTTACAACGACAACGGATTGAAATTAGTGATTAGTGGATTGAAATGTTGGAGCATTTTTGTTGATGGGCCGTTGTGAGAGTTTAGTAATTTATTGGAAACTTTTTGGATATTGGCATATTTGATAGCTTGATCTTCGAGAATGAATCTTTTCTTGTGAAATATTTCTTAATAAACTAATTTCATCGATTGTGTAGTGATTGGATGTAATGATTTCTGATGCAAATCATCATTCCAAAAGGTACATCTTTATTTTAAACAGGAAAAGTTCTCAAAAAAAAGTCCCATAATCGTTGAGTTTAAGTTTAAATGTTTATTTAACATTATATTGTTAGTAATATTCCGTATAATGTATGTATTTCTTGTCAAAATATCTTAAGATTGTATTGTATATCTCACGCATTAACATCAAATATCAACTCATCATCGTCATTGTAATCATTGTTTTTCTATAAGATTTACGTGTATGCATATATTATGATAAAATCGTATTTATATAATTTTATCATTTTTAATGATAGAATATATTGTTTGTCAAATGAACATGTCCAGTACAACTTGTAACGATTTAAATGCACGTAACGATTGTTTCTGATGTTGTTTCTCCTATTAGTGTCCTGGTAAACTGCACGAATTTCTATATTTAAATAGGAGTAATTTTGTGTGTGGCGTGTTTGTGTGTGTGTGTGTGTGGCTTGTGTGTGTGTGTGTGACCGTTTTATAAATGTTTGAGTTATCAAATTGATCAGTAATGTACACAATATCAATGTTTTTGAATTCGAGTCTAGTTCTATTGATATCTTACGTTTCGTAAACATTGTAACTACCAAAGTTTATCATTATTATTATTATTAATACTATTATTATTATTTATTTATTTAATAGGATTTTTGTTGGTTTTATTTATTTCGCTTCTTTTGATCTGAAATTTACTGTTTATTCCATGGCAAATATTGTTATAAATACAATAAATACGTTACTGTTATGAATAATTACACTTATTCACATATTCGTGTATAAAATAAATAAACCTATATTTGCCCTTTTGTTAGTTTAATTAATTAGTTAGTTCATTAATTAATTAACTAATTGATTAATTAATTTCTGTCTGACCAAAGACAATTATGGCATATGGTGCTGCAAAATTTGACACTTGAGCTATAACATTTTATCCAGTGTGGAGATGTTTAATACACGCACAAGTACACACATACACAGATATATATATATACATATATATATATATATATATATATATATATATATATATATATATATATATATATATAATAACGTACTGTATATACATCTGTATAACATTGTTATAACTTCTCTGAGTTATATTGCTGTCTGTTTGTCATTTATCATTGCCAGCATTCATTTTTTCTATAATAAATCGCACACATACATACATACACACACATATATGTATATATACACATATATATATATTTATATTTATATTACATGTCTGTGTACATATATTTGTATGTAATTGTGTATATTTGATGTATTGTATATATTGCTCATTGCTTGTTTTTTTCTCGTTTTGTTTTATTGTACTATAATTTCATATCTGATACTTCTTTCATTATTAACTCTCTCTCAATCTCTCTCTCTCTCTCTCTCTCTCTCTATATATATATATATATATATATATACCTATATATTTTTACAATATTCTATAAATTCTACCGAATATTTCGCCAAACATTCGGTAGAATTTATAGAATATTGTAAAAATTATGGTCTATTACCTACATATATATATATATATATATATATATATATATATATATATATATATATATATATAGAGAGAGAGAGAGAGAGAGAGAGAGAGAGAGAGAAAGAGAGAGAGAGAAAGATTTATTTTAACATGTTTGATTGGTTGATTAACGTATCTTTGATTATTCTGTAAGCACTGTTCAGTCAATCAATTAATTAATCAATTAATTAATCAATCGGCCAGTTAATTAATGTTGCTTAAATATTTTAAAAAGATTCGCCTATCATCGTCATCTGTTGTTGTCCTGATCTTCTGAAATGTGCACACAAACACGTATGCATGTTTGTGTGCACATGCCCATATGCCCAGTCTGCTTTTAATAGCTTTTTAATAAGAATCTCAACACTGTGTAGTTTTTTTGTACTCATGTTTATTTAAAGTTTCCATAAGTTTGTCGACTGACAGCGCAGTTTCGGCTAACAAACAAACAAACACAAACAAACAATATAACAAACACGTCTATTTATACATATTTAAAATCGTAATTTTTTTTCCTTGTTATCATTGCTGTCTAAACTGTCGATTATATAGAAATATGGTTCCTGCGACCAAACGCATCCAACTATCTCAACTATAACACTATCTGACCAGCAAATTTCGGTGATCATTTTACTTGGCATGAACTGATATGAACAAATTTAGAAACAAAAAATTGAGAAGTTGAAGAAACGTTTCAATAATTATATTAAATTTTCATTGCTGTTGTTTACGGGTATGAAAAATTGTTCAAAGATGAGGAGGATGACGACGATAATCAGTTAATAAGAAGTTAATAAGTTATCATGTTTTATTCTTTTAAGACCAAAGGACGCTTGGCTTCTTATGATGTTTCAATTAAACATGACTCTGAAGATGAAAGTAATAAGAACATCAGGAAATTCGATAAACTCTGCCGTGTAAACTAACATTCGGCTTGAAATTACTATTGCCCTTTCTTTATTACTATCTTAGTTTTGTTACAGCTATTAGTAAATTTGTGTAATTTAATACTTATTGTTAAATTTTCTTGTTGCGTTTGGTTCGCCCTGCCCATCCACAACGTGGTTTTCCCTACCCAACCAATGTGGTTTCCATGTCGTTTGGCTCTGTCCTTTGAGATTTTTTTCAATATTTTAAAATAATCATCACTGTACAACTATAGAATAAACCATTCAAAGTATAAATTGTGTGTCTTTTCGGAATAAAAATTTTTTAAATAAAAATGGTTTGCTGCTTTTATTGAGTTACAATAGTTTTTAATACCAAAATAGTCCAAATTATGAACGGTTGGCTCTACTAACTGGTGCGAGAATACGAAAACTCGATCGGACATATTCAAAAATTACTTTATTGCTAAAGTTGAAAAAACTCCAACATTAACAGACTACTACATTAGCATAATATATTTATAAGATTCATTAACATAATTTATTAATAAGATACATTAATTTGATATACGCGTAAGATACGTTAACGTAACATACCATTATGATGTCCAGGATATCAGTAATTTACAACACGGCTGGTTGTTTTGAGGCGTGTTTATCGCGAGGTTTATCGTTGCAGACGAACAATTCATCTGTGTTGTCAGAAGATTAGGAATAGATAAAAGATGCAAATATAGCGCCTCATAAATTTCGAAAATATGATGTTTTTCCCTATCGTGTTTTCTATTTGTTCGTTTTTTTAACCATTTCATTGTCTATGAATTTGTTCTTAGTGTTTTGCTCATGTTGTTACGTAATAAACAATTGTATCTATAAAAATTTGTTGCTATATCATTATGCAACTGCACGACTCGAACGATAATATGTTGTTGCCAATGTATCTTTAGGTATTTTTTAGAAGTTGAAATGTTTTTTCAATGATAACAAGTATTTGTATGAGAGCGTTAATTTCATTTGGTCAGATATTTATCATTACCAAAATTAATGAAAGATTAAATAGAGGCACACACACAAACAAACACACACACACACATACAAACACACACACGCACACATACAAACACGCAGACCAATATACATACACGGATATATACACATTCTAACAGTTACACGTACATAAACATCGTAAACACGGCAGCTCGAATACCACAATAACGAGTTTTGCTGCAAAAATTATATTATGTTATATGGAATTATGATAGTCTACACGAATTAATAATAAAAACAAAAACATTTTTTTATTATTATTCTTTTTATTATATTTAGTTATATGGTTAATATTATTGTATACATTTACCTTTTGTAAGTTAAGACTTTGTAGAAGGGCGGCTTTTGAAAGCAACAAAAATCATTCACATCATCATCGTCGTCGTCATCATTATCATTATCGTTATCATTATTCTTATCATCGTGATTTTTATCACCATTAGTTTAAGTATTAATATTTTTATAGCGCTTTTTAAGATTAAATCTCACAAGTGTTCATGACTGAATTTAAATTGTCAAAAAAGGCAATACAACAACAACAAAGATTCTATTTAAAAAATAAATATGTCTTTAACAATCATTATCATTATTCGTTTTATCATTACAGTTCCTATCATCGCTCTCATCCCTTATTATCTAATAATTTTTGTATCTATGTCGTTACTATCGTTGCTTTCGTCATAGTGATAACAAACTTCATTGTCTATGTTATCATATTATTCGGAATTGAATCATCATCATCACCATCATCATCTCCATCATCATCACCACAATCATCACCACCAACATCATCATCATCAACAACATCATCATCACCATCATCATCACCACAATCATCATCATCGTCGTCGTCATCTTTTTTTTATTATCATCTACTACGGTTTATATTTCTAATATTTTTTTATTCTCTTCTTTTGTTTCTATCATTCCTCTACTTTGTAACGTTTCACTGACAACTACAATTTCTTCAGCGCTTTTTAAAAATTCCTCTCTCCGTATCATTCTCTCTCTTTCTCTCTCTCTCTCTCTCTCTCTCTCCTTGTATAC